GGCGACGAGTCCGGCTGGCCGGGCTGGGCGTTTCCGGCCACGGCTGAAGAGTACGAGGGCGCCACGCCCGACCCGTTGTTTGGCGCCCGCTACCTGCACGAGATTTATTTCAAGGCCGACGCGGCGTACCCGGGCCGCTACTCGGTGCCCGTGCTGTGGGACAAGACGGCCGGCACGATTGTGAACAACGAGTCGCCGGAGCTGATGCGGGATCTGCAGACGGCCTTTAACGACTTGCTGCCGGCCGACAAGGCAGCCATCACGCTGTACCCAGAGGCGCTGCGGGCACGCATCGATGTCGAGTCGGTGTGGATGCAGCGCGACCTCAACGCGGGCGTGTACCGGACCGGCTTTGCGACGACGCAGGAGGCGTACGATGCGGCCGTGCCCGCTGTGTTTGCGGCGCTGAACCGGCTGGAAAAGATGATTGCGGCCGGCGGCGGGCCCTTTGTGCTGGGCGACCAGCTGACCGAGCTCGACGTGCGTGCGTACGCGACGGTGGTCCGCTTCGACACGGTGTACGTCCAGCACTTCAAGTGCAACCTCGGCACCATCCGCCACGACTACCCGCAGATCAAAAACTGGCTGGCGTACCTGTATGGGCACGTCCCCGGCTTCCGCGAGACGACCAACTTCCGGCACATCAAGGAGAACTACACCAAGTCGCACAAGGACATCAACCCGCGTGGCATCACGCCCATGGGCCCGTGGCCAAACGTCGAGGAAGGATACGAGCCAGACCTGACCAAGGTGCGCGTCGGAGGTGTGAAGATGCCGCTCGTGCTGCAACTGGAAGCCAAGATTGAGCCGAAGCTATGATCGAGCTGAGTTTCGTGACCAAAGTAAGAATGGAAGCAAAAAAAGGGGCTCATCAAATTGAATGTTTCATATACGAGAAAGCTGCTCCTCTTCATTTCACCATAAATTTGTCCAGCGTCGCCTTGACCTTGTCCAGATCCAGCGCCTCCACCGTGTGGCCCTTGAATCCCGTCAGCGTCTCCGCCATACACAGCGCATTGTAGATGGCCTCCTCCGTTGCGTCCGCCGCCGCCTCCAGCAGGCCATTGATGGACTCGTCGGCCACGACATTGACGCTGTGCACCAGCGGCTTGAACGGGTCCGTGGGTGGCTCCTTGTTGAACTTTTGTACGGGCACGTGGTTGGCCGTCGAAAAGGCCAAAAAGATGTCGCCCGACGGGTTCTGGCCGTAGCCGCCCACGCGCGCCAGGCCGACCGTGGCGCGCTTCGCCAGCCGCTCGCACTGCCGCGGGTGCAGCGGCGCGTCCGTCGCCAGCACGACAATGATGCTGCCGTCGCGCTCCGCCTTGGCCCTGTCGGCTTCCAGCGGCGGCGGTGTCGGCGTAGCCGCGGCCCGCTCGGCCGCCACGATCTTGCCGTACGGCACGCCCACGATGCGCAGGTTGCGCAGGCTGCCAAAGTTGGCCTGCACGAGCGCGGCCACCGTGTAGCGCGTGTCCTTGGCGACGCCCTCCACCACGCGGCTGCTCGACCCCGTGCCGCCCTTGTGGCCCAGACTCACCATGCCCGTGCCGCCGCCGCGGTTGCCCTCGGGCACGGCCGCGCTCGTCGCCGCCGCGATGCCGTGGCGGACGTGCGACGGCTGCACCGCAAATGCGACCGAGTTGTTGAGGAAGCCGTCAAACGTCTCCGCCACCACGGGCATGGTAAAGTACCCAATGCCCACGTCGGCGTCGCCGTGGTGCGCCGCCATGTACTCCACGACCCCCTGCCACGCCGCGCCCACCGCCGTCGTGTTGGTCACCACAATCGGCGACGCCACCTTGCCCATCTCCTCGACGAAATGGCTGCCCGTCAGCTCGCCGGCGCCGTTGAACCGAAAAATCCCCGCGTAGCACCCGCTCTCGTACCAGTTGTGCCGTGGCAGGATCGTCGTGACGCCCGTGTGCACGCCGCGCGCTGCGTCCACAATCTCCTGCGTGTGCACGAGCACGCCGGGCACGTCCGTCAGGCTGTTCTTGGCGCCCGTCGGCCACACGCCAAGGTCAATGCCAGGGACAACGTCCCGCAGGCGTCGACGGGGAGGCGTAGCCGTCACCATTGTGGTCGTGTTATTGTATTGTGGGTCGAAAAATGTGGGATGGTTCGCCTTGAAGTTCGTCCATCCGACGCTGTGAGAGATGCAAGACACCGGTGTTGCTGTTTGACGTCCGGCGTCTTCCTTTTATATTTCTTACATGTCTTGTCGACTTTTACACGTTCCTTCCCTTCTACAGCTGATTTTAGGGTGTGCTCTTTCCAATTGCGGGTGCCTTGAAAGTCATGAATTTGCTGCCTATTTCGTACGTCCTTGTTGCGTCGCTCCTTCCTGATCGGGCTCTTAAACGTAGGCGCCGCGCGTATCTTACAAACCACGGAATGGAATCCTTTCCCCACAGACCAGACTGGCCGTCAGACCCGATGTTGGCACCAGACCCGCGAAACGGCCTGCCAAACGCTGGCTTTTCGCATTCTGTCACTGGGTCTAGACCCCGCACTCTAGTTTCCTGCAGCGTCCTAACCAACGGGTCGCCGGCTCATCTCACTGGAGTCGTTCCTGACGCAATGTCGTAGGCGACTCGGAAAGGCAGGCGCGAACGGCGATTGAACAATAGAATGCGACAAGGCGCCACGAGTATGAGAGAGGAAAGAACGACACTGTTGGAAAGAGCGATCATCAAACACCGTATCACGTGCTGCACATGGCGTCGACTTCATCGTTCCGTCCTCAACCTTGGCAAACTGGGGATGAAAGACAAAAACAACAAAAGGCTACAAAACCCGTTCAATACCCCAACTTTTACCACGCCAGCACAGCGCCCGAACGCGGCACCGCTCCACATCGGCCGCCTAGCCGATTCCTCGTCCACTGCTCTCTATTGGATGCTTCGGGACTGGGAAATGTCCCAATTCAGATTGCCGAGCTCCATCCATCTCTCCCCGCTCTTTATGACCGGCGGATCGGAGACGACAGAAGACAAATAGAAGACGATTCTCAGTCGCTCTTCGTCAACATAACTTACCAACGAGTACGCGACTGCTCTTTGACCTCCGTGTGACCGTTGCTGAATATCCTCTACCCAAATACCGATACAATGGGCGCAATACGGGTTACCCCCAATGTGAGTGATTCGTGACGATGCCGAGGCAAGGCCGATTGCGGAGCAGAAGAAGACAGAAGACAAGACAAAAGACAAGAGACAAAAGACAAGAACAAAAGAACACAACAGAACAGAACACAGCTGACCGGCTGCTAGGCCACCACACGGGCTGTGAGCCTGCTGCGGACCATCCAGTACACCCATCCGCCGTCGTGTCCATGTCACTCCAACCCCGACCACCATCACCACCACAAACACCAGGGCCCGACGCCGTATGCACGCAGGGCCGCGCGCGGCTATGCCACGCCCCAGCAGCAGCCGGCCACGCCGCTCAAGGAGTATGCCTTTGAGATGGCTGCGTCGGCCATCCGGTTCGGCAACGGCGTCACCCGCGAGATCGGCATGGACCTCAAGAACATGGGCGCCAAGAACGTCGCCGTGGTCACGGACGGCACCGTCGACAAGCTGCGCGCCATGGAGCAGGTCCGCGCCGCGCTGGGCGAGGAGAACATCAACTACGCCGTCTTCAACCGCACGCGGGTTGAGCCAAAGGACAATTCGTGGGTGCCGTCCTGTATCCACACTGACGCTTCGTTTACACTATGTTCATGTCCAGCCAACAGCTAACACTTGCAGTATCCTGGACGCCATCGCGTGGGCCAAACCAATCAACCCCGACGTCTTTGTCGCCGTTGGCGGCGGGTCCGTCATGGACACCGCGAAGCTCATGAACCTCTACACCTGCTACCCGGACGCCGACTTCCTCGACTTTGTCAACGCGCCACTGGGCAAGGGCCGCCCCGTCGACAAGCCCCTGCGTCCGCTGATTGCCGTGCCCACAACCGCCGGCACGGGAAGCGAGACCACGGGCACGGCCATTTTTGACTTGGTTTCGCGGCGTGCCAAGACGGGCATTGCCCACCGCAACCTCAAGCCCACGCTCGGCATCTGCGACCCCCTCAACACAGCCACGATGCCCGCGGCCGTCAAGGCGAGCTCCGGCCTCGACGTCCTGTGCCACTCCCTCGAATCCTGGACCGCCATCCCCTACAGCGAGCGCGTCCCCCGCCCCGCCAACCCCATCCTGCGCCCGGCCTACCAGGGCGCCAACCCCATCAGCGACATCTTCTCCTTCAACGCCCTCAAGAGCACCGTCAAGTACCTGCCGCGCAGTGTGCACGACCCGGAGGACGAGGAGGCGCAGTACCAGATGCTGCTCGCTGCGACGCTCGCCGGTGTCGGTTTCGGCAACGCCGGCGTCCACCTGTGCCACGGCATGTCGTACCCCATCTCGGGCCAGAACCCCGCGGGCTACCGCCAGCAGGGCTACGAGGTCGACACGCCGCTCATCCCCCACGGCGTGTCTGTCGCCGTGTCGGCCCCCGCCGTCTTCCGGTTCACCGCGCCCTCCAACCCAGACCGCCATCTGCAGGCCGCCGAGGCCTTTGGCGTCGACATCACCAACGCCAAGCGCGAGAGCGCCGGCGAGCTGCTGGGCGAGGCCATCTCCACGTTTTTGGATACGCTGGGCGACCAGCCGCGTGGGCTCAGGGACCTGGGCTTTGGCCGCGAGCACATTGAGGACCTGGTCGAGGGCACCATCCCGCAGGCGCGTGTTTTGATGCTGGCGCCCGGCCTGGCGACGGAGCTGGAGCGCGAAAAGGACCAGCTGCGGATGCTGTTTGAGGATGCCCTGTCACGTTAATTCTGTAGATAATTTGTATGTACACAATTTGTACAGAACCGGCCGTACGACTTGAGTAGTAACAAGAATGAAAAGGATGGAAAGAATGAAACAATGTAAATTGGTCTAAACTAAAAGGTGAAAGACAGAACCGTGCGGTTCCGACGCATTCCTGAAATTACTAAAACACACTCAGACTACAGCTGGACAGACCGGACAATGTCCTCGGCGTCGGCAAACTCGAGTTCCTTGAGTGTTTCCTCCCACACAAGCGCCGACAGACCCTTTTCCGTGTAGTAGTATCCAGCAAGACTGTCCTTTGGGTTAGCAATCAAAGCGGACAAAGCAGAACAACGTAGGTCTCGATCAGTAAAAGTACGTACGGTGCAATTTCGGCATTCATCAAGAAACACCCGTGCGACTCGGGCCCCTTGCCCAGCACAGCGTGCACATACGTCGCCGCACCGCGCTCGACCGTGCGGCCGGCGGCGCTGAAGAAACCCTTGACAGCCACGCGCATGGCGCCCTTGGCGTGGCGGAACAGGCTGGTGCCTTTGGTGAGGCCGGGGTCCACAAAGTTGATGAACGGGTTGCCGTGGACGGGCGCAATGCGGTCGGTCAGCTCGACCAGGAACATCTGCGAGATGAGCTTGGACACGCCGTAGCGCTCGGTGGCATCGAACGGCAGCAGCGCGTCGTCGTCAAAGGTGGGCAGCAGTGGGCGCGCCGCGCGGTTCGGGAACTTGCAGAGATGGCCCGTGACCGAGTTGACAATGGTCATCGCGGGGGGCCGCGTGGGTGACGGGCCGCTGGCCGTTGCCGTCGCCTTCGCCTTGATGACGGGAATCAGCAGCAGCGCCAGGAGCGCGGTCCCGTAGTGGTTGACCTGCATGGTGGTCTCGTGGCCCGTGGCGCTCGTGACGCGCACAAGGTGGCTGAGGCCGGCGTTGAGGATCGTGCTGTCGATGCGGCCCGGCAGCTGCTCCTGGCAGCGGCGCGCAAACGCCCGCACCGACGGGTACGACGCCATGTCGAGCTCCCAGACGTCAATGGTGGCGCGCGGGTTGGCGGCCTGCAGCGTCTTAGCGGCCTCGCGGCCCTTGTCGAGCGAGCGGACGCCCAGGACGAGGTGGCTGTAGCCGAGGGCCAGCAGCTGGCGGGCGGCCTCGAAGCCCAGGCCAGTGTTGGCACCAGTGACAATGGCGCGTTGGCCGGAAGCGTTGGGGTACATGGATTTGGTGGGCAGCGGGATGGTGGTGAAGAACTGGTTGCGGATGAAGACGGGCGTAAAGTTGGACGGCAGCGGCGCCAAGTCCTTGGACGGCACCGACTTTCCTGTCTTGGCGTGTGTCATGGTGGGAGGGAGTTCTAGAAAATCGACGAATAAAAGTAGACAAGGTGAAAAGCCAGAGTAGGATGCTGGGGAAGTTTGGTGAATGTGTAACTTTTGAGATATTTGGAGAGGTCAATCTTCTCTTCGAGACGGAAAGGCTCCTCATTTAAACACTGTAGACAGTCCGACAGGACCCGTATTGTTCTTCTCGCGGCATAGTGCAACTTATTTCCGACTGGATTCTGACCTTTCGTCACCGTGCAGCAAAAGTGTCTGAATGAAATGCTTAGCAACAACGACAGTCGAACTCTTGGTGAGATTCGTCTTAATCGAGCCGTGTAAGTCGTGATGTTGAACGCCGACGGCATTCGAGCTATACGAAAGTAGACTAGCGCGAGAACGAGTGCACCAAAACAGACAAGTGCGACGGGCGAGGCGACCCACTTCTTGCAGTCTGCTCCTTCCTGAATGCCGACGGAGCATTTCTCTGTGTCTCCGACGGCGTCCTTCATATGCATCGCGTCGCCAGTCGTGCCTTCTTCGTTGTTGCCCTCCCCCTTTTCCCTTCATATTTCAACTTTCGGACCATATCGACATCCTATCTTCCGAACTGTCCTTCTCTCACACCATTCCAGCGCCCTCCCATTGGCTTACTGGCTGTCTCGCAACAGGCAACAACTCGTCTCTGACACACGGCACACTGCCCACAGCCATGCCAGCCTCGCCGGGGCGCCACGATACGACGCCTTACGGCCGCGCATGCAGCCAATGCGTCAAGGCCAAGGCCAAGTGCACGCTCCGTGGCGACGGGAAAGCCTGTGAAAGGTAAGCTGTGCCTGTGTCAGCCCATCGCCGTTGGAGCACTTGGGCATCCGTCCCCGTCCCGGGTTGCAGACGGTCCACCCGCATGAGATTATTAACCCCTGTCCCATATCCTGTTTTGCCGCCTCGTCTCCTTTGTCTCTCCACATTGCAGATGTCTCCGTCTCAAGAAAGATTGCCAGCCTGCCGTTGGTGCCCGGCGCAAGCCAGGCCGGAAACCGGCCGCATCCAAGACGGACGAGCTCGAGGCACGCCTCAACGGGCTGATGTCGATGCTCGAAAACGTGCCTGGTCTACATCAGCAGCAAAAGCAACCATCGCAACAGCAGCGGAAAGATGGACCGAGATCAGAGTCAACACCTGATTCGTCGTCATCCGCCGTCGTGCCACGCACATCCGTCTTCCTCTCCGGCCGTACGATCACCTACAGCCCACATGAGATATGCATTGGCGGTACCCAGCAGCCGATGGATGGGGATGGCGACCATCGTGATTATGCTTCTGCACATCGCCCGCAGGACGTGCCAAATCGCAGCGACCGTCGCGATGATGACACCAGCCAGGGCCTCATCGCCGGCTTCGCAGGATTGGACGCCGAAGAAGCCCTCGAACGCTTCCGCACCCGCAAACTCAAGTACTTCCCCTTCGTGCACATTCCACCAATGACGTCTGCCGCGCGCTTGCAGCAGAGCCGTCCTCTGCTGTGGCTCAGCATCATGGCCTGCAGCGCCCGGTCTGCCGACCTGCAGACCCGCCTGTGCCTCCGTCTTCGCGAGCAGATCGCCACACAGGCCGTTGTGAAGCACCAGCGGTCCGTCGACCTGCTGTTGGGCGTCGTTGGTTTCCTGGGATGGGGCATGTACTACCTCAAGCGCGACCCGTTCATGCTCATGTACTGCCACATGGCCACCGCCATCGTCCAGGACTTGGGCCTCGACCGTGACCCGCCGACGCCGCGTCCGCCCCCCAACACGGCCGCCGCTTCGGAACAACACCCGCTGTCCACCATCCGCATTCACGGCTTCGCCATCAAGCTGCTCGAGTCTCCCGTGCGCACAAACGAGGAGCGCCGTGCCGTCTTGGGGGCCTACCTGGTGACCGTCATTGTGACCCTCTTCCACCGCAAGCCCATCACCCTGCCCTGGACCGAGCACATGGACGAGTGCCTGCGTGTGCTCGACACCGAACCCGAAACGCCACTGGACCGTCTCCTCGTGTATCAGTGTCGCCTGCAACGCGTTGCTCTCGACATTCCCGGCCCACAGGCGTACATCTCCATTGCCTCGGCAGCGCAGATGCGCCAGACACGCGACTTCCAGGTCACGTCGTTGCTGGCGCGCCAGCGCGAGGCCGAGAAAATGTGTCCACCAGACCTGCCCGCCGACCTGCTGGAGATCTGCCGCGTCTCGAACCTGGCCAACGAGGCCTCCATCTACAGCATTGCCCTCTTTGCCACGAACCAGTCGGCCGAGGAACGGCTGCGCCATGGCCCCGACACAAGGCGAGCGGAGTTGCTCAACACCTGTCTCCGCCTCCACAAGCAGTGGTTCGACCTTGTCTTCAACAAGCGGCCCGACCCCAACCTGCAGCAGCAGCAGAAGAGGCACGAATACGAGCACCAGGAACCATGGCGGCCGGCTGCTGAGAAGCGCCGAACGGCGACTACAACCCTTGATGTCGGCCCGCCCAGCATGCCCGCGATCGACAAACCGCCCGTGGACGACGGCAGCGTCCCCAGCCACCCGCGCTCGGCGTTCCACGAACTCCCCGACGATTCCTTTTTCCACATGTTCTCCTTCCACATGGTCGCCCAAATGTCCTACTTTTTGGTCGTCGTCTACCGCCTCGCCACCTTTGGCAAGGACGACCCCAGCTGCGGCTGGGACAAGCACTGGGCCCGTGCCCAGCTCGACGTCCCGGGGATGGTCGGCGCCGTTGCCGACCGCTTTGCCGAAGTGGCCGCCTACTTTGCCGACCATGCCGCCATCGGCCCGAGCGCGACGGCGCCCACCATGCCACCCGCGCCACAGGGCGAAGCCGCCTTTCCCGATTTCTTCACGCGGTCGGCCCGCGCACTCAACATGCTCAAGGCGACGTGGGTGGCGGGCTGGGCCAAAGAGGAACAGCAGCAGCAGCAGCAGCAGCAGCAGCAGCAGCAGGCACCAACACCGTCTAGTGCGGAAGACCTAGAACGACTCAGGCAGCAACAGCAACAGCAACTGCAACAGCAGCAAGCACATCTGTTTCGTGACGATGAATCACGCCACCACCGACCGGATATGTCCTTTAGCTTCTCGCTTCTCCATACCAGTCCCGACGACGCCCTTCCCTTTGAGGCGCTCGTGGGCGATGAGCAGAATCTTGACTTTGACGGCGGCATGGGCATGTGGATGGCCGATATGTTCACGTCCGACTGGGGATTGCAGTGAACTGTTGGTCGGTGCTGATGACTTCGAATTGCAAAACTTAAAGCAGCGAAAAGGGACAAACAAACCACATTCTACAACAGCGTCTAAAATACAGTGAACTACAATGACACTCGAAAAGCATATCCCGCAAAGTAAGAGAACCTCCGCCTTCACATCCTACACAAACTTGACATGTCCCCGCAAGAAATCCACAATGCTACTGCTCGACGTATGTACCCAGCTCGGCTCGGTTGGCTCTTCAGGCTCTGCAGGTTCTACTCGCTCGGCTGGCTCTGCATTGGCTACTTTCAGTGACAGTTCGGACTCTGGCCCCTCTGCCGCCACCGTGTCCATCGCCTCGTCTCCTTTCGGCAGTGAATCTGGTTGATCCGCGATTACTGCTTGTGGCCCTGGATTCGTGAAACAAAGGCTTTGTGGCACAGCCGTTGCTGAAACTGCACCGTCCAACTTGCTACTGTCCCTCGTGGCAAGTGCATCGTGGCTGGACACGACGTCAAGCTGTGGGCTGTTTCTTCTCGAGTCTGGTATGACCTCGTTTTCAATAAGTGTATCGATGTGGTGCATGTTGAAGACGGGCGGTGCCAGGGCGGCTGCAACTTTTGATGGCTTTCGTGTTGGTAGTATAGTGTCTGCCGGACTGGTCTTTACGGGCCCGATCCCTGACGATTTGCACTTTGTATCAGACGGCCGGTGCCGAGAGTTGAAAGGCGTGCTCTCTGGTGACTCTTTTATGGGTGGCAGCTCAATGTCGTCGAAAATGGACGCGTCAAAGGTGTCCTCATACTCATCTGACCCCGAGTCGTCTAGCATGAGCGGATCCTGTTGGGTACCGCCACCACTGCAGTGCCGTGGCTGTCTTGTTGGTACAGCCTCAAAGGCAAACGGGTCGCGAGGGTACTGGACAGGATGATGAGTTGTCTGAGCTTGTGTTTGCTTGTTGGTACTGAGAGGCACCTGAACTCGGCCGTCTTCCACGTCGTCCACGGCCGACAGGTCGACGCAGTCAACCGTCGTGTTACCGATCGTGATAGTGCGCATCGAGTAGTCTAGCATCTTCTGCCTCTTTACAGGCCGTTCCTCTTGATATCCCCGCCGAACAAAGTCGTTTGACGCTGCGGTGCTGTCGGCTCGAGTTGACGCCGTCGGCGGGGATCGAACAGCTAGCTCGTCTCGAGGCACCTCGACGCAGGGTAGTTGCAAGGATTGCATTGTACCAACAATATCATCGCACGTCTAATGACAATGAACTGTGTCTGCATCCGAGGATGGAACTGTGAATGTAACTTCATGTTTCGTCTCTAGGAGCTTTCCCTGCCAAATGTGAAGTAGACGGCCCTCCTCTGTCAAGGCGAGAAAGGTGGCAGATGGCACCTTGTTCCTCCAACGCGGAACACCACCTTCATTCATGCAACCAAACTTGACTCGGGCAACGGCTTTCGCCTTTGTTTCTGAGTCACGACTGTTATTCTCTCGTAGCCCTTCCGGGGCCATGGCTACATGACCATCCAGTGTGAGACGGGGGAAGGCTCGTAGTGAGTCGGCAATCTTCATGGCGGCAGGTGGGTTCTTGGAGAGGAACCGCTCAATAGTCACCGTCCCGAGATCAGCAAACACAAGTACGGTGGTGACCTGCCTGTCCACGAGTTTCTTCATGTTGGCCGGTCCGATGTCGGGGACCTGGCATAGCTGCGCCGGGAAGCCCTCCCAGGCTTTGGCAAGCAGGCTTCGCGAGAAATCAAGCCCAATTTTGGCGGCGTGTCCGTTGTTGTCCGCAATCATACAAACAATGTAGCTCTCGAGGAGTCGCTGCATCCGCTCAATCGCTTGCCTCGCCTCCAAGGCCATCCTCTGCTGGTACGGAAGCACGCCCCGAGCCAGTTCAACCTGAATGAGTACGGATATCTTCTGCCACGTTTCCATAATGTTGTCCTTGAATTTGAACGGAATATCTTGAGACTTGTTGAGCTCTCGTAGGCCCTGTCGCTCTGTGCTTTTGATTCTCAGCTCATCAAACTCGGAAGCATGACAGAGCGCATTGACCTAACACTGTCAGCATATTACTCCATTGAAATCCCAGCCACTCTTCCTGTAGCCAAAGACGTACGAGTTCCTCCATGGACACGGAGCTGTTGAGCTTCAGCATCATTACCATAGTCTCAAAACGGACCATGTATGTTGACATGGCACTTCCACGCGGTGTTCCACGGAACTCGGTGTCGGAGTCCGCGAGATACTGGATGAGTCCCACCTCCGCCAGTCGACCAATACCTGCCTTGCATATCTCTTGCAGCTGCTCGTCGGTTGTTCTTGCCAGCGTTGTCTCGTTCGTCAACTTGTAGTGGTCCGGATTTTGTCGCAGCCGGACGGACAGAAAGGTGCCTTTCAGCCACTGCACGGCCTTGGGCAGCGAGGTGATGGTGCCCAGAACAATCTCCGAGTTGAGGTGCTCGATGAGGTTCATGTGTAGGGTACTCTCGACCGTCTGGTAGCCAGACTCGATGTTTTCGTACTTTTCTTTGTTCTCGGCACGTGTCAGGATGATAGCAATGGCACTTGTATCAAACTGAGGCCGTCCAGCGCGGCCAATCATCTGCATAACCTCGCACTCGTCATATTCAGAGAATTTGCCATTATGGTACCGCAATGTGCCCTTGAGAATGACCGTATGGCACGGCAGGTTGACGCCGACCGCCAGTGTTGACGTGCAGCAGACAATGGACAGGTGACCACGCAGAAATGCCGCCTCGATCGAGGCCCGATCGTGTCGCTCGAGGCCGCCGTGGTGGAAAGCAACGCCGGCATTCACCAAGTTCTGCAGGCGAGCACTGCTTCGAATCCCGACAGATGGACTGGGCCATGGCTTTTGTGCTGCAGAACACATGCCCCAGTACTCCGCCAGGGCTGTGGCAGCACTCTCTGTCGACTTGCGCGTAAAGCAGAATACGAGGACCGGTTTTCCCTCTGCATATTTGACGACCAAGTCAGGCAGTTGGTCGTCCAGAATGCTGTCCAGGGAGTGTTCGTTGCCACCGCCCATATTGTAGCCGATGACAATCTTCTCGAGGCGAACGGGGCGGAACTCCTCGCCGCATACATAGGCCTTGGCGGGCACCTGAGGACTTGTGTGCGTAAGGCCCAGCCACTGAGCAACGTCGGTCGAGTTGGAGATTGTAGCACTCAGCGCAACAAAGCGCACCTCGCCGCCAAGCGTCTTCATGCGGGACACAACCGTCTCGAGAGTGGCACCGCGTGGGTCTTTGAGGATATGCACCTCGTCAATGAGGACCAGCTTTATCGTTCTAAGCAGAGCATCATGGTCAGACCACTTGCGTGTAATGGAGTCCCATTTCTCGGGCGTGGTGATAATGACGGATGCCGTGCGTGCACGCCGGACCTCGGCCGGCGTCGTGTCGCCCGTGAACTCAGCCACCTGTAGGCCGAGCGGCTTAAACTTGTTCTGCCAGTCGCGGACGCGCTCCGAGCAGAGTGCTTTTGTGGGTGCCAGGTACACGATTTTGAAGTCCTTCTTGTCGCGGCTGGCGAGCAGCTTGCAAATTGCCAGCTCAAACACAACAGTCTTGCCGCTTCCTGTAGGGGCTGCCACGACAACATTGTAGCTCGAGCCGTAAACGGAACTGAAACAGCGCGACTGCATAGCATTAAAGTGCTCGTAGGGGAAGATAGCCTGGAAGCGTTTGTCGACTGCCTGTGGGCTGATGAGCTCTGTGCCATTAACTTGCGGTGCCGGATTGTTCCGTGGCTGTATTGGGGCCCGAACAACGGCCAAGGGCGATGGGGAAGAGTAGCGAGGAGTTGGAGGTGCCATGAGTTGGGCTTGCCCCGACCGCTGTCGAAAGGTAGCTGGAGGAGCAGGTGTCGGAGGGGCCTTGTAGTGGTTCTCGCTGCGACGGTTATACGAGTTGTACACCGGGGGAGCATACGTCTGCGGCTCTAGCCCAGTGTCTGGCTCCAGCTCAAATTCTTGTTGCTGTCTTTGCGGCCCGTCACTACTGTACCCGTAAATCGGTGTGTGGAATGACTCGGCTGGTTCTTGTGGTGGCTGGCGCAGCCAGTTGGGTCGTGCTGTCGGCCGGATCGACCAAGGAGTTCCTGGTTGATCCAAAGAGTTGTGAGATTGGATGGTCTGCCGTCTCGGTGTCTGCACGGCGGTTGAAGCTTGTGGCTGAATCCGAGGGATCTGGACGTCGGCCTGCCCGTTATGGGATGTAGGCTCTCGGTAGACAAAGTCCCTCAGGAAGTTCTGTCTCTTCGGAGCAGGAGGCGCAGTCAATACCGTCGACGCTGGTGCTCGTTTTGGGGCAGTTCGTGTTCCGGATTGTGCTAATTGGTTTGGTCTGAAAAAACTACGACTCGGGTTGGGCGTTCTCGATGTCTCCGTCACTGACATCGGCCGACTGACTGGTTGGTCAACATAAGGATACAGTTCGTCGTCCTCTCTGTCGTTTCTGGTATACTCGTCATTTCGGTCGACGGTGGTACTTCTTGAGCCTGTAGCAAAAGCTGGGCCACGAGACGCGTAGTCCTCCTGCCAGTTCCCATATACCGGTTCCGTCGACCGACCAGTTCCAAAATAATCCGGGAATCGATTGCGGCGCATTGGGTTCGTGGGCGGCAGAGCGATTTGGAATTTGATGCACTTGGGGCGATCGACGGGTGGAAGCTGTGATGATGTTTCGTCTCCGATGTGATCAAAATTCCCCCTTTATTTCCGCCTGGCCCAAAAGCGGCAGCCATGGCTGGCTGCCTACATACACATTGCGAGCGCTTTCCAGAAGGCACGACCGCCCACTGGCGATAGCTCCTGCCACCGGTGCGTGACCGCTCCTTCCTGAGTTTGAGTGCTGTCGAATAAAGGTCGCGATATTGGCGCGTCTTCACGTGATGGTCCACTGAAGTCAAAAATGAAATAATTGCTTTCCAAAGCTTCCATATAGCTATATATGAGCTATATGAGCCTTTGCACAATGACATTGACATGGTGCCGTCAATTCCTCCTACCGTGACAAGATCAAGCTACCAGCTTGCGTTTACCATCCCATTTTACAATCCGTTGGCTCTCCTAGCCTCCCAATAAACGATGCTTTGTGCTATGGGCAAAGAAAGAAAGCGAGAAAAAGGGACGAAAGATAACGCCATAAAACAACGCGGCCGCCTTGGGCCCAAGGTTCGCCCAAACAGATTGTATCCGTGTACAGGTATAGTCGAATCGAAAACCAGGACGACGAAACAAAAAAAAAACGCCAGTGAAAGAACGAAAGGAAGGAAAAATACAACAGCGTGCTTAAGATGAAGGCAGACTCCCTGGACCGAGCGGGTTCTATTCGTCTCGGGTTTTGCTCCGGCTCGACTGCACTCTGTTATGGTGGCCAAGGGGAGACGAGGGCCGCGACGTTGACAGGCCCATGGTGCGGACGGAGTCGAGCGGGTCGAGGTGCGCGGACCCGTGTGACGATGATGCGTGCGACGACGGGTTCCTGATGTTGTCCGTCGACCGGATCCGTGGGACGGGTGTGCCCGCGCGGTCAATGGTGGTCTTTTCGTAGTGGACAATGTTGATGGGGGGCGGGCGGCCGCGCTTGCGGTCGGGGCCGGAGTACAGGTAGGTGGAGGCGAGCACGAGCAGCGTGCCGACCGTAAACGTGGCCGTCATTCGGAAGCCAAAGAAGACGACGCTGAAGAGAAAGCTGATGACGAAGCTAATGCTTGTGGCAAAGTTCTTGGCGATGTTGTCGGCGTAGTTGATGCAGAGAGACGTCAGGATGCCGCCCACGGCCTGGAAGACAATGACGATCCAGACGACCCAGTTGTAGCCGTCAAAGAAGCCGTGTTGGGCAATGTCGGCGCCGTCCTTGAAGACAATGCCGACAAAGAGAGCCGGGAAGAGCGAGTAAAACGACAGTTGGATATTGCGCGTCCACACGGACACGGGGCTGGCCGAGTCTTTCAGGACCTTTTCAAAGTAGACGCCCGTCAGGCCCGACACGACGACCGCGACCAGGACAGCAGTAATGCCCAGCGACGCGTTCATGGCGACGGCGCCCCCGTCCTGTTGGTCCTCGTTAATGCCCTCGTAGGATGCGGAGCGCTTGGCGAGCAAAGCACCGCTGGCGACATGGGCGACCGTGCGCTTGGTGAGCTCGCGTGCCACCTCGCTAACGCCGTCGACCATCTGGCCGAGCTCGTGCATGGACCGCGGGAAGAAGTGGTCGCTAAAGTCGTGGATGATGAGGGCCGAGGTGTCGTTGGAGGACTCGTTGGAGGACAGCGAGACAATGGAGACGCCAATGGTCAGGACGACCAGGGCAATCCAGCGCTTGGTCGACAACGAGCGGCCAAGCAGGGCGACGCTGAAGAAGGCCGTTGTGAGGATCTTCAGTTGGTAGAGGATCTGGAAGTGAACGGGGTCCAGGTTGCCCAGTGCGACGTATTGCAGTGTGTTCTGGAGGGTGTAAAGGGTGGCCGGGATGGCGAGCTTCCAGCTGTCGTGGGAGAAGACGGAGTTGTAGATCTGCTCGAACAGCACGGTGGCAGGTGTTTGCGGCGCGAGAGTGCGCGAGACCTCGTAGATGGCAAAGGTCAGGGAGATGGCGAGTTTGAGGACCTCGTTGAGGAAGACGGCGGTTGAGGCAAAGTAGCGGTGGTCGCCGGGGACGCCGGGCATGACTCGTGAGTAGTGGAGGATCAGCGTCAATAATGAATTTTGGAAGGTTAACTGTGCGGAAGCGCGAGCGCGTTAGCAAACGAGAAGTCTATGTACGACCATTGACGGCCCCACGGGAACTCGTTGGAAGCTCACGGTGATCAAGGAAACCTGCTTCATGGGCAACCCAAAAAGGGTCGGCCCGGAAGAGGTTTGTGGTGCTGCGTCGAGCAGCGCCATTGTGCTGTGAGGGTATGGACAAGCTGGTCGAGAGACGAGAGCAGACGTTAGAGTGGAACAGCCGGGCAGTCGATGCACTTGACAACAGCTCCGACGCGGCTTCAGTCGACAAAGGGGCGACTGGGTGCGTGTCCGGTTCAGCCCAGGCGCAGTTGTCAGTTGACGAAGCAGAGGTTTGTTCGGAACGAAGTGAATGTCTCGTTGAAGGAGTGGAAAAGTGGTAGGAAAAGCTGGAATGCAAGCAATTGGGGCAGATCGAGACCGAAGAGCCTTTTGAGGCACTTTAAATTCTGGCGGCTTGGATTCCAAGCAAGCTCCGGTTTCTCGGCGGCCAAAATGGCTTCGAAACCGTCAGAAGCTGACTGGTGTGCAAAGAAGCATGTGGCGGTCGAGTGTGGATGTCTCTCTTTTTTGAGGATGTCTTAGGTGCTGACAGCTCCTCTTTTTTTTTCCTCCTCGAGTGCAGAAACTATTCGGGGGGTATTTTCTGCGCACAGTCGTTTTCTTACGTTCTTGATGTTCTCTGTTCTTGCCCTCCCCCAGTTTCAATCCCCTTTTCTCCAGTTTCTAGTTGCAGTAGCTCCGTGTTTACGTGTTTTGCTCCTTGAGAATCGACCCCTGGTCAGGTTTTTGTTGTGTCTTATGGTTTTGTGGTTTTTGGTTCTGGTTCGACCTTTTCGATTCTGCTCACCCTTGTTTCTGATACTGGAATACCGTTGTGACGTCGCCGCCGGCCCCTGACTTGGCGAGCCGTGTGTCCTGTTCAACTTTCCGGTCTTCTTTAAACTTGCTTCGGAGGGTTTTTGTCGATTGCCAAAGCTGATTTGCTGGTCGCGTGTTCACAGCACTTGGTGTGGCGCGCCTAAAGAGGTCAGACTTCGGCAAAGTTGGAGAAGTTCTAAATTGGGTAAGGACGCAGGCGAGTTGGCGCACGCGAGGTCGGTCCCGACAACCGCGGCCGAAAATTGTGAAGATGTTGGCGAGAAAGGAGGGAAGTGTGTGAAAGAGAGGCGAGTCCGATTTTGAGAGAAATCAAGAGCGAAGAATCATAAAGAAAGTGCGAAACAGAAAAGAGTGGCAGGCACGAGAGAAAAGCAGAAATGGGCAGTTGTGACCGAGTGACAGTGGTACAGCAAAAAGGCTTGGAAAGAGTTACACACAAAGCAAGCGCAGCCCGTTCCGGCCAACAACGCCAACAGGCAAGAGCCCCTCCCCCCTCTTGCCTCCAAAACCTTAAACGCATCGAACGCCCGATCCCTTGAGCTTTCCTGTTTAGGCCGCATCTGACCACTTTGTCGCATATTGTGCGGAGCCCCTCCCTCAATGTTCAGGCGTCGTGATGCACCCCCAGGCCTTAGCGGCGGGGAAAACAGCGCTAAGCTTAGTGGGTGGACTTGCCCACAGCCACCTGACACCGCCAAAGTTGTGGTCAGGAGTCCGTCCTCCGTGGGCGGCCACCATTGGTTGTTAGCCTGTACCTTTCGACGGCGAGAATTGGGAAGGCACGAACATCGGCCAACGCATCAACGGAAGGAAGTACGAAGAAGAAACGGAGATAATAAAATACAACGTACAAAGCACAAAGCACAATGATTGATTCCATAAACTTCTGCCACCACGCATCACTCAGCTTGGGCACACACACTTTTGATTGTAGCACTTGCCGCCCGATCATGATCGATCTGCGTAAAACACACGCATAAGAAGTGTCGTCATTGGGCGGGACCCGGGCCTCCTAACAAGCCGTTTTCATATCCGATCGTACGTCCTCCGCATGCAATCTATATTATCTATATTGTTATTCAAAAGCACACGCATTATGTCTACAGGTAGTACCGAGGCAGTATCCAAGCGTCAACATACTGTTATCTACGGAACAACGAACAACTATGACTGAGAGTCCCAAACAGCCATACCTCAGCGCATGCCTTAGTCATGTCTGAATTTCGTCTTCCACCTGTTTCGGCATTTACGGCAGTGGACCAACGGAGAAGGAATAGCAGGACGCCCGGTACTTCTGGAAGCCAAGCATAATCAACGCAATGTCTCAACAAAACCTGTCGACACTCTCCAACACATCCACGGCTGTTGCGGAGATGGGGTATGACAACCATCGGCGGCATCGGGTCAAAAAAGCGGTCTGCTAGCGCAACGTCTTGGCCGTGCGGAAGAATGACCATAAAGACGGTGAAGACGAGCTAGAAAACGATGCCACACAAGAAAGGACAGGGAAAGACGACGGACAGACATCTGCACGGAAATGCGTTGTTGCGAGAGGCTCAATATCGTATGCCTTGTACAATTGGCTGGTTGTTAGTAAGTGCAGGATGCAATGTTTCAGCGACCGTTCTCAAGGTCTCACATATTTTTAACATCTATATCTCTCCTGATTGAAAAATCAATTATTGAGAGGTGGCAAAATCGGCTGTGGGAATATTAAGGAAGTTTTCTATTCTTTTTTTTTTTTTTTTTGTAAAAAAAGGGGGGGAATAATAAACAAAATCCAAAAAATACATGCGTGCAAGTATTATTTATTTTTCAAAAAATATGCTTTAAATGCAAGGAAACATTAAATCACTTCGTATGAAATGTAATGTTTTTCGTCTCTTAGTCTATCCGAGAGCATTTCAAATAAATCAGGAGTCAAATCATTTATTTATAAAAAAGGAAAAAAGAAACAAACAACAAAAGAACTCTACGTCAACACTTACTAGATGGTTTGTATCGACTTGTATGTTCTGAGCTGCGAACTGGTCTTAATGACAAAGCGTAGGCATGATTCGACAGGTTGAAGGTTACTCAATCTCCGTATGCTGCTCCCGCTCCTTCACAATCCTCTCTTGAATGTACTCACGGAGACCGTTCTGGTCATTTGCAGCACACTTGGACCGCACGCACACGGAGCAGCTCCGGCGCGTACTGGGGATGAGGTACGGGCACAGACACCAACACGGGCACCGCCTCCAGGGTATGCACTTGTCGCACCGCATGTGGCCGCAGCCAGGGTTCGGGGTCTCGGGCATGTCGCCGAGGAGAGGGCCGACGGTGTCGCCCATCTCGTCGAGGATCTCGCGTAGGTCGGAGAGAGAGATTGCAGGGCCAGCATCATCGTTGACGGCGTGTCCGTGGCGGCCACCATCGGGCCCACACCCACATAAACCATCGACACACATCAAAGGTGTCGTGGCCATGGGATGGAGACGTGGCACATCCGCTTGCGCGTCCTCGCTGTCCTCGTGCAGGCTGTCGCCACACACATGGCCCGTCTGCAGCGTGTGGTTGTCCTCGGGCACCCCCAACGACGGCGCCCACCGCCGAAGCCGGCTCGACGACGACACCGACCGTTTGCCGTTGTCCCTGCGGCTCTGGCTGCCAAAAGGCATTAGGATCTGGCACGTGCAGCACGTCCAATAGTTGGGGACACACGAGGGGAACATGCAAAAGGGGATCTCGACGGGGTTCCGTACATGTCGCGTCTCACAGTTGGCGCAGGGAAGGAAGAGGGCATTGCCTTTGGAGAATGTATTGTGTGGCACGACGGTCGCCGCGTGCACATCCTCCCCATCCCTGCCGACGGCTTTGTCACCATCGCGCGGGATGGCATTCTGGCACGGTGCGAATGCGCGGAGGAAGTGGCCACAGAGCCAATGCACGACCTCGTCTCTACACATGGTTAGTATTCGTGAGTGAAAGCGGCGATGGAAAAGAGCTGAAAAGGAAACGAACCACCACAGCACAGAGATGAGTTGATGTGATAAGAGTGGCTGCTTTCTGTCAAACGTCAAGCTTGACACGGCTCTGTTTCGTTTCTCTTCGGTTGGTTTTTGGTCAACCAGCGATGGCAGATATTAGTAACATCGTGGATGAAGAGAAAGGGAGCAGAAGAGACGAAGGAACGAAGAAAGCAACATTGTTAAGTATGTCGTGAAGCGAGGCGCAATGAAAGGCTGTTCATTGTATTGTTCATGTCGATGAACTGGGCTTTGTGATGCTCGTTTCAGACGGATTTCGTTTTCGTAACAACCGTGTGTTGATATTCACGAACAAGTGGACAAACGTGTAGGAGATACATTAAAAGTGATTGAAAGGACTGTTTTGAGAGGGGAATAGAGGATGGTGTTCTGGAGGCTGTACTGTTAAGTAAGAACAATGGAACAAGGAACAAGAACAACGGTCTTTGTTGTGACGAAAGTGCCCAATTTCCATCACTGTTTGTATGAATTGGCTGCATCAGGAGCTGCACATCGTCGCACCTGACAGTCCTGCGTCCAGAAAATGCACTCCCGCAGTCCATGCTCGTGTCTTGGCCATGTCGGTAGTTGAAAGTATGCAAGGCGGACGCTCGACCTGGTTCGTCATAATTCCCAGGTTTACAGTGTTGGCCGTGCAGTAGTGTACGTGTGTTTTTGCGGGAAACAGCGGACGGTGATGTCATATATGCGTATTTTGAGAGACGTGTTTTAATTGTCGTCATGGGTTAGATGATTTGTAAACTGTGTGAATCTCACCGTGAGACAAACAAGCAGCTGTGACGAAAGCAGCTGCCATCAGAATGTGCCATAGCAGGCAAGGGCCTTGTGATTTACGTTTAAACTTTGCCAGAGCCCGCCCGAACTCTTCTGGTTTGAACAATGTGATCCATGTCAGTGGGATCTGGAGATGCCCCGTATATGATCAGCATTGATACAGAGTGGATGGATGTACGACGTGCCTTGTGATCTCTGCCTCTTCTTGAGCAATGCGTGCGTCCTTTAGCAGCTACCCGTGGTAAAATACAGTGAATGAAGGCTTTATTGTCCTCAATATTTACGCGTTCACTTTTGTCGAAGGACAAATTGATAGAACATGCCAAATGGCACTCGTACATTTTGATTTTGACCCCTTGACGATTGTACTTTACCAGTCGTTTCACGTCTCCACTGGATGCGCAGGCAGATGTCGTATGTCGTAGTGTTCCCTACGTTGCATTTTGTGTTGTCGACGTAAAGTCGCATTGGAATTACTGGAGCCGTCTAACAGTGGTGGCTTCGCATTACGTGCATTGGATATTGAATGCAAGCCATTCAGCCATTAACAGGACAACAGCAAAAGGATGTAAATGGTGAGTGTCAAAAAAGTGTTCATCCAATAAGTCAACCTCTTGACAGTGCCATGAATTGCCGTGTTCCGACATACACTTGTTCTCGCAGTCTCTGTTTTTATTTTTTATTTTTTTATGAGATCCTCGGTTTCCTTGTCTTGACGTATGGGTCCTACTTACTGCGCCTTGACGTTGCGTTGACGCTGGAGCTTTGGTCCCGACCCACGAAACGCAATTGGAGATCCGAGAAAGACGAAAGCCTGGTAAGTCGTACTGACGGGCACGTCTTCGTCCTGATTTTTTCCCGTCTTCGTGCGGGCTGCGACCCCAGGATGCTACCCTTCCCCTTTCCTTTTCTCTTTATGTTGTGCGCTCGCACCCGCCAACCGCGAATCATGGGGTCAAGTTTTGTGCCGTGCAGCGCTCAGATCGCTTGCAGATGGAAGCCTACCGTTGCATCAAGAGCCTCTTTGGCCTTTTCGCGCAGCCCTTTCGCCCAATTGTAACCGCGAATAAAAAAACCTTTGTCCTCCCAGTTTTCTGTGCCGTTCGTTGGCACATTGCCTCCATCCAGGCCGTTGCTTTTCTGCCCGCTTTGACGTAGATCGCAGGTGGATCTCAACGCCATAGCGGACGAACTGGTCGGGAGAAGGTATCTACTTCAAGATAAAAGAAGTCAAAGCTTGAGTTGCATTTGTTCCCTTGACGCATGGGCCTTTTCTTTCCATTCTGCTTGCGAATGTGAGTGTAAGACTTACTTCGTAAATGATAGTAAGGCATCACAGCCGAGCTGGCAACCTTTCGATATCAAAACAACCCGTGTTAGTCCACACAGAAGCTTGTGTCATTGGAGATGTAACAACGCTCGTTTCGCCATGTCTTGCTTCTCCTGATCACGGCATTTATCTACCGGGCAGCTATGGGTATTGACTGCAGCATATGTACGCGAGTGCCGTGCTGTCGTTTGCCAAAGTGACGTATGACAAACGTATGACATGTGCAAGGGCACGATAGCCGTGGAGGAGAGTTGCTATCAGCAGGCCTTATATTTTCGCAGCTCCATTGTCTGTTGTGGACAGTTTTAGGCCGTAAAGCCTGTCTAAAACTGATATCTCGCGGTAGTCTGTGCTCTGTGATGAGCGACGTCCAGTTTCGAGACCCAACCTTTCAAGGACTTGTTTTACTGGGCCTGAACAGACCAGCAAGCTGCTCCATAAGGATGTCACGGACATTCCCGGTGGACCGCTCGGTCGCCCAGAAACTGCCTTGGTCGGCGACATCATGTTCGCCGTCGGGACTGCTCGAGACTGCGCCAATGCAACAGAAATCCTACTTCGTACAGAGCCTGCCTCGGACCGTGACTACATAGTCTGTCAGTCCCCGTGATGCCTTTATTTTGTCCCGTCTGATGTCCTTCTACCCTTGGCCTGTCAGAATCCTGGTCGATTTCATTTGGCCCGCTGCGAATGCAACCGTTATTTCAGCCCTTCCGTGTCGTTCACTGTCCGCGTGCTCAAGTTACGGTTTGCACGACCAATTTTTGGTTTGTTCACCTTGCACAGTAGTCCTTCCTTTTCTTCTACGTTGCTACAGTTTTTACCCAAATTACCAGTTTGATGCGGCCCAGTATTGCTGCGCAAGAACGGTTAATCCTTGCTTGGGATCTGCACAACTTTCTTTTTTGTTTCTTCTCTGGCGCGAAAGCTCACCTAGCCATATTCTAGAGCAGGGGACCCCGGCACTAGCGGGTGTGCTGGCATTTTGGCATGTCGTTCACAATAAAGAGCCCTGTTCTTTGACTCAAACTCTGTATTTTCCTTTCTCTTTTGAGATTTGTTCACGTCGCAATTTTTAGTACATCGTATGTCGTACCAGGTCTCACAGGTGTCGTATTCGCTGTCCCATCTCTCTCCCCATCTCCATATTCATATCCATATTACTGTTACTTCGTCCCGCGTCGGGATCGGCATGCAATCAACACCAGACCCACTAATCTCTTGGGGTTTCGTCGCCCATCGCTTACGATGTAGGAAGCGCGGCTGAGGCGTTCACTTTGGAGCACGAAGTAGAAAATGGAGAAATTTGTATGAAAGAAAAAAAATCAGAAATCAAATTTCTTATGGCCGAGATGGAACCCTCTAAAGTATCCATCGAGATGTGGCGTTTCGCAACGCCTTCGATGGGAGAATGTGCCCGATGGTAGGGCGAAAAGAAGACACTGGGGGGCCCTGTGATAAAAGGAGGATAGTCTACATCGTTGCTGACTGTAGGAGGTGTATCGATGTCTCGCAGATCTTGTTGAAACTCGTCATGCCTTTCTTTTTTAAAAAAAAATAAAAAATTGCGGAAGAACGAAATTCAAAACATGCGCCTAGGAACAAACCACTCTGCCTACAATCGTCACACCAAAGTGGATGTGATTGTCTACGACGTACCTCCATTTCGACCTTCATTTTCGAACGTCACCGTTTTGCCCGCCTGCTCACTTGCCCGATTGTCTGGACGATTGTCCGCGTCTTTCATCCACCGGCAAGGGCACAACCCAGAACAACGTGTCCATTCTCCATTCAGATCGGCATCATACATAGCTCCTGGCTTTGTCTGCCGCATTTGCCCTGTGGCGTTTTGGGAGCCTTTCTTGTCACATTCATAACCACAAAGGGCACGCAACGCACTCTTTCTTGCGGGTCGTCGGCGGCCCCTGGCGGGAATCGCGGTCGCCGTATGTCCTGGCGTCCATCACAAACGGGACAGACGTGCCTTACGACCGGACTGTATGTTACTGCATTCTTTTGATGAAACCTGCATGGAATGAAACCGCAGCCAGTTGACCTCGTCATACGGCAGGGGAGTCTAATCTGAACACATTTCATCGTTTCTTTCGCCTCGTCACGTACGACGTACAATGTAAGACACGATACCCTCTGTACCGTGGCAGTTGAACGCGGTGTCCCCGTCTCTATTGTCGTCGTAAGACCGCGTCAAATCGTAATTCATCCGATTCTTTGCAAGTGAGGCGACACTTTGATGTCATTGCAAGTCCATACCACTAAAGAGAGGCTAGATCGAGAACGAGAGCAGAAGATGCAAAGAAGCACGCCGCTTGTGCTGCAGGTGGTTGACGAGAGGTCGAGTCCGTGATGTCCCAGAAAGGCCAAAAGTGATTTCGCGAAAGGGTTCCGCGGCAAATTGCCAATTTTCAGGGCTAGACAGCGCTAGAAGAAGCCAAAAGCAAGCCCGAGGCCCTTGTCAACTGGGCGCTAGCACAGTGTGTCCAAAGGGTCGTCTTTGGAGGCTGACGGGTGTCGAGAGCATGTGTTTTGTAACGGGATTTTGTGACAACTGACAATCAAGGCCAACAGGGGAAACCGATGCGTAGCCTATGTTAAAGCATGTGCACGGCCGGGGCAAGCACTGATCCGGGTGCTTCTTTCCGGCTTCCGTGGTCTCGCATCCGTACTTTCCTCGGATGCGGCGACAGGCACAAGCGGCATGGTAAGGCGCTGGGTGCCACCGCGCCTTCCGTACAACATTCGTTCGGCGTCACACAAGCGGCCTGCGCCCTCGTAGAATACGGGATAGGGGCGCGTTCGTACTTGCCTGTCTCTCGTCAAATTGACAAACGGCACCCAGGTCGTGTGCCACTATTCATTTTTATGAGCTTGGAGCATTGCTTGTTAGGGCAGCCTCGACCACCCAGCTTGGGCGTTCCTGGGATGTGCCTGCCGTCTGGTTTCCTCGCCCAAAGACAGTGACATTCCTCACCAACAGCAAGTGTATTCAGCGTCGCAGTCCCGGGGCACTGCCCTACGATGTAATTTGGCGATGCGCAATTGTTACGACCGTATCATCCTAGGGCTCGTCCGGAGGAGATGAGAGGTGACATCGGCCACGACGGTCCACAGCCTGGCCTCCCACTCTTGGAATGAACTCCATCGCACCTTCTGTAAAACGCAGGTGAGTCTGTACATCCCATTTCCCCATGTATCAAATCCAAGGCAGGTGCGACCGGCAGCAGTTGCCTTCATGACAGACAGACCAGCCTGCTTGATACCACATCGCTGGACACATGCGTTCCTGTTATGGACGTCGTGAAGTTTGTTGACGTTGGAAAATACACGTGATCGGCACCGTCCTCCTTCTCGCACTTGTCAATGTAACGCAAAATTGTCACTTGTCAGCTTCTTAGATCTCCTCTTTTCGTTCTCACCACGAACAACACCAAAATCCATCAGCCATCCTCGGCCGTTCTTCCTCTCCACCCGAGCGCACCCCCAAGCCAAGCCAGCAGATTGCAAAAGACCAGGTCCAGCTGGCCCGCGCTAGCGTCATTTCGACAGGGATTGTTGGCTCCACGAACAGGGGTAAGTGTGGTGGTGGTGGTGGTGGTCGCAAGCCGGTGGGTCGGCTTCCGTCTGGCTCTTTTTTGCCGCTGCTCTTCTTTTCTTTTCTGTCTTTCTTTGCGCTCGCTGGCGTTCCACCGGTCCCCATGGAACAATCGTCAGCGGGCGCACCAGCAAATCAACGGACGCACCGTTCGATGGGAACTGGAGGACATCGGCTGCTCACACCTTCTTTTCAGGCCTCTAATTCGTAGGTCTGTTCGCACTTCTGTGACCGGTTCTTTTTTCTTTTTTCCTTGTTCTCAAGGCCTCTTCTGCACGTCTAACACCCCTCCTGCCCTGTCATGGTCCTGACGCTAATCGAAAAGAAGCAGAAACCCACCAGCAAAAAAGCAGGGAACAGCGGAGTCCCTCTCTCGTCTCTGTTGCCGGCTCCTCTTGAACTTTCCCTCACACCACAAGACACACGGCTTGATTCCTTTTGCTCGTCGGTCAGATCCACATGCTGTCCGGGGGAGAACCGTCTGCAAGTCGTCGTCTCGCTCTGGGGTCCTGCCTTTCTTTCCCTCTTGTGCGAAATCTCACCATAATCTTGCTTGCATTCCATCTCGCCTTTTGCTGTCTCCTTTCCTATCCACCACCACCTCTTCTGTTTCTCGTCCTCCTCTAAATCGTATACACTCGCTGGAACAGACCGGTCTCGGGACTCCGGGTGCTTTTTGTCTTGCCCTCCCTTCCTCGCGATCGTCACTGCTGTCAGATCAAGAATTTTGTCTCGCATCCTCCCGACGTTCGGCAACAGTTCATGAGACAACTCGCACAACTCCCAACCGCGCGGCATTCACCACCAAGACATTCATATCAGCATCTGCCTGTACTCCACGGATTGCACCTGGATCGGGAAAGCGAAGCCATTTCAACGGCAGCGTCTGGTCTTGTTCGTTTCGTCTCACCAGAGCCAAGCAACTGGGGACCAGCCATCGGAGGATTTCGTTATTCAACACGCCCTGTGTCTCGTCCTGCAGCCTTTCCCGCCGACCCTCTCGTCTCCTCTCATCTCCTGCTCCTACAGCCAGCCGTCGTCTCTGTATCTCGCTTCTTGCCGCAACCCTCGCCTGAATAGCCGCCATTGTCTATCTGACCTGCGCGCTCTCGAAACACTGAGTTCGTCATTCAGCCCAAGCCGACATTTAGACTTGGCGTCTTGACTGTGGCCGCCCGTCACGGATACAGTGCACTATCGACTGGCGGACCGACAAACAGACAGTGCAGCTCCAGGACGTATCACCCGACGACCGACGAACCGCCTTCAACCGCACGGGCAAAACTTCCAAGCAGTAAATCGTCTTGAAACTGAGCTCTGAACGCTCGGCCGCTCAATTTCCTAGTCACGACTCAACTACTGCGCCGCCTTGAAAGGTACTTCAAAAATTGCCTTTCTTGCGACGGCCTCAGTGTACATGGCTTCGCTCATGCGCCGATAAAGCTGGGATTTTCTCCCCCTTCTCCTTCAACTTCCACATTTTGCTGGGTAAGGGGGCTTGGGGTGTGTTTACAATTGTTGCGCAACCTTCTCGCTTTCGCAGCAAGCCTTGACTGATTCTGCTTTTGCACGTGATTTTGCGTTTGCGTTTGCTTTTGCGCCATTGCCATGCCTCGCTTCAGTTTTCCGGTCCCCGGCCGGAGGAGCAAACAGGAGCCCGTCGCTGCCAAGGCGCCACCTCTCACCAAGGTCCAGAAAGTCCTAGGTTCCTCACATATCAACGTCGACTCGGCCGCCTCATTGCCCCCATCGGATGCGGCCAGGCATTGGGACACCGCCTCCAACGCCCACTCCAGCATCAGCATCAACGTGCCCGAGAGTGCCATAAGCTACGACGATACTTACGATGGCGGTCTGCCGAGCCTGACCGAAGACACTGTTGTTGACAGCCCTCGCGGCGGCCGGTCGGCGGGCTTCGACGAGGAGTCGGGCGTCCTACCGCGGATCTTCGCTGACGGCGACATCAGCATCGACTTGTACGGCCACGAGGGCCGCTCCATCACGGACGCCTCAAGCCTTCGGCGCAAGCAGTCCGGCTCCACCATCGTCTCATACTACGACAAATCCAAAGTTCCATTGGGCATCTCACAACAGACGTCGAATTCAGCCATGGCCAAGGGTCTGCCTACGAAGGCGAGCTCGTTACTTGACATTGACGGCAGCATCTCGCAAGCGTCAAGGCGCAAAAAGAAGCCGGCCAAGCTCGACCTCTCCCGCATGTTCACCAACCGCAAGTCGTCCAGCACCATGACCTTGAACTCCGATCGAGGGCTGGTCCTCAGCCCTGACATGGTTACGCGCTCTCCATCGTTCATGTCCGTTTCCCCAATGGACTACCTCAACCACCCGCACAGCAGTACCCGCAGCCACCACAAAGTACGACCGGTGACACAGGGCTCGATGCGCGACGGCCTGTCTGGCATGGCAAGTCCCAAGCAAAAGGTGCTGCGGAAAAAGTCTCTACCCAATCCACGATTAACAACGACAACACCTGCACCCCCTACTCCTTCCGCCACACAAGAGGCAGCCGGCCTCCAGAACCTATATGCACATTACGAACAGATGACGTTCCGCGATGTCTTTGCCGAGCAGGACGCCGAGTCAGCATCCGAGGCACCCGCTACCGATAGCGAAGGCGACGGCGCCGCGCCCATGTCGCCCATGTCGCCCAAGACTGTGCCTCAGATTTACCAAGAAAAGATGGAAGAAGAGGCGCGCGCCGGCAACTACCTGCCACAGATCACCCTGGAGACACCGCTCTACAAGGACATCTCGGCCTACTTGGGTGGCTACGGTGCCAACGTGGATGTTGCGGCGGCGCGGGGCGACGACCCGCTCGATCTTCCTACCCTCAAAACCCCCTTGGACGACGGTTCCGACAGCATCTCCAGCCGACACACGCGGACTTCCAAGGCGTCGAAACGCACTGCCCAGAGCTTGCTCGATATCGACCTGAAGCAAACAAGCGTCCTGTCTCTGTCGTCCGACTCGGAGGACGACATGGTCGACTCACGCCCCAAGACATCCTCCACTTCCACTCTGCCCTCGCCGCGGTCGCAACGAGACACTACACCAAGGTCTCAAGGTCAAGAAAGGCAGAGCCCAACGACATCGCGCAGCCAGTCATCCAACAAGAAGAAAGACCGCTCGAGTGGCCGGTCCGACAACACCGTACACTTCTTGCCCGTGCCCAACCCCAACGAGAGCCCATCGCCCGGCCCCACCTTGCCCGCAACAGCCTACTCTCGTGCTAGCTCAGCGTCTGCATCTACCACCAGCACCACAAAACCCTCCATCCGCGATATTCGGTCACCGTCCCGTGAGTCGCACACGTCGCGCGTGTCCATGGCATCGACACGGACGGGCAATTCGGTCGGCCCGGCCAACTACACCGTTCACGAAGCCCGTGCCATCACTCTCATTCCAGCACAGGGTGCCTCTTTCAACTCCGACAAGGCGCGCAGCCGCGCGTCCTCGTCTGACCAGCCGACCCCACCGCTGTCACCGACAAGCATGGACTTTATGATTCGATCCAACCGCACATCAGCCTACGACGCCGACCAGGGTTTGGTTCGGTCGGCTAACGGCAGTTTGCCGGCCGATTCTGGCGCCCCCCGTAGCCCCACAGCTGGTCCAGGTCGCTTCATGGCCGTCACACGCCAGGAGGAGCTGCTGCTCGCAGCGCTGCGCAAGAAGCGGCTCCGCATGCGTGAGTCGGTTATCGCCGAGTTTGAAGAGGAGGAGGACAAGGAAAAGGAGAAGGAAAAGGACAAGGAAAAGAAAACGGCCGAGGGCAAGGAGCAAGAAATGGCAGCATCGCAGCCAGCCGAGCCCGTCCACGAGATCCGCCGAGGAAGCATTGATGCCGTCCTCGAGTTACACTCGCCGCAACCTCGGTCAATGAGCGCCGCGTCCATTAGCTTCAGCGACTTCCCTATGCAGTTTGAGGACACCACCTTCCCCGTGCCGCCCTCGACCGGCATTCGCAACTCTCTGCGGCCGAGCTCCGCCCTGTCGCTCTCAATTCCTCTGTCGCCCCGGTCAAAGCCACCGACCGCTCAGCTGCCGCCGACACCGACTGCCAGATCGACCCCCAACCGCGACCTTGACCGAGTGCTCATGAACATGAACAAGCCAACCTCCACTGTAGAGTCGGGCTCGGGAGCGTCCGGCAAGGTGTCCAACAGCAGTGGGAGTGGGACTGGCACGACCAGTGGCAGTGGCAGTGGTAGTGGCAGCCACAGCACGCCAGCGAGCGACCGCTCCGAAGACGTCTTCGGCAGTGCTGTCCGGAACACGCACATTCATGATGGCGAGTCAAGCCCGCGCCTCAGCGATTGCCTCAACTTTGACGACGACGAAGCCGAAGACGAAGACAAACAAGACGGCGCCGCCAGTGACAGCGCCGAGAGCTACGACTCGTTCGACTTCCAGTCGTCTATAGACCAATCGCCCATCGACCCGCCAGCAACCGCTTCTCCGCCAGCCTCCTCCGTACAGAACCAGCGCCCACCAACCCGTGGTCGTCAGCAGCAATACCTTGGCGTGGCCAAGCCGACACGTGGCCCGACACGTGGCCCGACACTGCCGACTGTGCACGACGACATTGACGAATTCAGTGACTACGACGAGTACGAGAACGTCGTCAATGACGATGAAGTGGGCGTCAACGCCACGAAGGACAACTACCCGGTGCAAAGCGGCAGCGCGTCGGCGGACCTGGCGTTTAACTCCTTTGGCAACAAAAACAACAACAACAATAACGGCCGCAGACAGAGCCTCGCGCAGAACAACAGCCACCACAGCTACTATGGCCATGCCGACGACGACGAGCAGGGCATCCCGCGGCCAGACTCGCCGCTCGAGTCGCCTCTGCCCTTGCCCCACAAGCGGGCTGTGCGCATCAGCGCCGTCGGCGGTGGTACGCGCGTCGGCATGGAGGCCGGCTGGTGGGGTCACAACGGATAGGCGACCGCATGACCACTGTTGTCTCTTGTTTACTTCACATTAATTATCCTTTACCGTTTCCTTCGATCCCCTTCTCTCCAATTTCTTTTGTCTTCATGTAAAGAGCATTTACAACCAAGAGGAGCCAAGCACCACCCTGTATTAATGGCCAGCGATGATCTGTTTTTATTTTTTAATTACTTTTGTGGGTTTGGATCTACCGATTTCTTTTGTTTTGTATTTGGTCTTCTTTCTGAATATTCTCTTCTCAGGTCAACTGGTTGGCTTAAAACGTCCTTATTTTTAACTGTAGTTTTAATATAACACGCGGTACACTTTTGGATTCAACTCGTTTTTTGTTGTACTCTGCATAATTTGCGCATTGTCTCTTCGTGCCGCCTTGCGATGGCGACCCAGCTAATGCGAGCAATACGGCCGCCGATCTGTGAGCATTTTGGCGGGATATCTCCAGATTTGAGAGACCAAATTACGCTATCAGGGGCACAGTGCGGAGGCGGTGTTTGCGGTGTTTGCCAACCTCCAACTTTCTGACACCGCCCGACGCCGCCCACTGCTTTTTGACAGCGCACGCGAGCAGACGACAATCTCCAGACACAATGGTAGCACACCCACGGTCACTCCGCTTACTACGCTCACATTAAACTAATACGTCTTCACCAGACCGCACCCGCCCACACGGAGCTCGTGTTCCATCACGACGCCAAGCGCTACACGCTGCCGACGACGGTGGTCGCCGTGCTGCCGTTTGCGTCGCTGGCGTCGGCCAACAAGGCACTCTTCAAGCAGGGCCTTCAGGAGGAGGCCGACGGCCAAGAGACGCCCTACTATGCCGTCGTGACCGAGGCCACCATCTTCCACCCGCAGGGCGGCGGGCAGCCGTCGGACGTCGGGACGATGACGGCGACGACTGCGGCGGATGGCGAGGGCGGGGGTGTCCACACACCGGCGTCTGTGGTGTTTGACGTCTTGTCAGCACGCACCGACGCCGTCCACCCCAGCCAGGTGCTGCACTTTGGCCGGTTCACGACGGGCTCCGACGACACCGACAACACCAGTGGCAGTTTCAGTTTTGCGGCCGGCACGCCCGTCACGCAGGCCATTGACGTCGCCAAGCGGGTCCTCTACTCGCGCCTGCACACAGCGGGCCACGTCCTCGGCTCGGCCGTCCGCCACCTCGTCGAGCAGCAGGTGGAGGGCTTCGACGAGCTCAAGGCGTCGCATTTCCCCGACGCGGCGTCGTGCGAGTTCCGCGGCAAGATTGACGGCCACTGGAAGGACCCCATCCAGGCGCGTCTCACCGAGTACATTGCGCGAGCGATGCCCGTCGAGATTGACTGGTGGGACGCCGCGGATTTCCGCAAGAACGGACTGGAGCGGCTGATTCCGCAACCGGCCGCACCGTCGTCGTCGTCGTCGACGACGACTTCGGCAGCGCCCACGGACAAGTGGCGGATTGTGCGGATCGTGGGCGCCGAGGTGTACCCGTGCGGCGGCACACATGTGGACTCGACGGACCTCTGCGGGGAGACGCGGGTGACCAAGATTTCGCGGTCCAAGGGGATCTCGCGGGTGTCGTATGCGCTGGCCGACCCGGGGAAGGCATAGACGGACAGGTTGACGATAGACGGAAGCCGTACAAACTACTAACGACGCATCGATGACAAATAAACTTCGTTGAGACGTTTGCAGGTTGACACTAAAATAGCAAGAGCGGAAATAGATAACACAAGAGATACGAATCGGAAAATAACATGGTATGAGGGGAAGGACGCATCACAGCGATATACATTGACGACTGCTGCATCGATTCCTTCATTGCGGTGCACACCCGCAACTTTGACAGCTGCCTGGGTCGTGGTCGCCTCAGAATTGCGTAGAATGCGCTGCTTGCCGCCCATACAGGCCACAAACAAGTTTGACAAGGAGGTTTGTGGCGAGGGCGGGTCGTCCTTCGTGGCGGTCGGTGACAACCATTTTTGACCTTTTAGAGTTGAGGATCGTCATCAGCGAGGGTTAGGTACCTCGGGCAGGATCTCGAGGACGCAGCGGTGGTTCAAAGGGAATCCAGGGGCCCGGGCAGCAATGGCCTCGAGCACGTGGCTCTCGCTGCCGCCGACGTCGACGGTAAGCGATACGGCTGTCTGTTCGTCACCGAAGTCGACCAAGGCTCTCACTAACCAGTCCAGGCTGAACGACCCAGATGAGGATAGTGTGCTTCAGACAATACCATGACAAAGGTAAAGGGGCCCATGGGCTCGGGTTCGCTCTGGAACAAAGATCGAGGAACGTGTCCTGGTTCTGGATAGCTTTGCTTTTGAGTGCAGCTTACCAACCTGTGCTTACGTGTGGTATTGATCAGGGTGGAGGACGATGGGCCAACACGGACACTTTTGGACGCTTCAGCCAGCGGCTTTGACAATTGTCGTGTCTGTTGGCTAGTGCCGTTGGTTCGGGTGCAAGAGGAGGCTTTGTGTTGAGGAGACGGTGTGGTTTGAAGGGTCAAGACAACATGAAATGAAACGAATACCAAATGCTAAATTAATGCCTCCGTAATGAGACGGCCAACGAGCTCATGACTTGCCATCGTGCTCCAGAAAAATTACAATAAAAGTAAAGGACACGCCCAGCCTCATATATTGTGTCAGGATATCGTCGTCGGTGTGCATTCGCTGACGACTACCGGTACGTTGATTAGCCAATCACAGTACACTATTCAGCCCACAAGGGCCAACACCGGCCGACGGAACTCCGCATCTTCCGTCCTGCACTGATACACTACCACTCACACTGTTATATCATACGTCGCAGGCTGTCCGACAGGTAGTATTAAGGTTGTTTGAGATTCTTTTTGAGGGGATGGAATGCGATTTCTAGAGAGTGGTGTCGCGTGTGTCGTTTTCTTTTGAATACTAGGTCTTTCGTCAAAACCGGTCACAAAAGCAGACAAAGCAGGCTGCCCAAAAACATAAAAACACAAAAACATAAAACATAAAAATACAGTAAGAGCTTACCTTTCATTATCCCCCCTTATAACTGCTGTCCATGTTCTGGCCTTCTCTCCGGAGTGTCGAGATTCCCTTTGTTGCTGGCATCGATGACTGGTGGCGGTGGGCTGTACTGGCGAAACCCGTCCGAAACGGATCCTACGGCGCGCTCGATGTCGGTCGCGTTGCTCTGGCTAAAAGATGGAATGTGTCCACCATCATATACACGCCTCTGCTGCTGACTCTCTTCGTAAGGCGGGGGGTCGTCGGGAAGGGTAGGCAGGTCTGGTTGCGGCAGCTGGACGCGCGAGCCGTTTGCTTCTTTGGCAAAGGATGCTGCATCGTCGGTATGGTGATCCGGCCGATGGGCTTGCGTCGATTTGGCGAGAACTTGCTGCTCATGGTTCAGCTGCAGCTGCTGTCGACGCCACTGCCGCGTGCATAGCCAGATGAGCACAGCCGCAATGAGAAAAAAGGCGAGCACAGACCCGACGGCAATGCCGGCAATGGCGTTGGAGTTGGGGCCGGACATTCCGGGGCTGTAGCCACTTCCAGGTCCATTTCCGGGCCCGCGGCCGCTGTCGTAGCCGCTGCCCAGCGTGTCGCTGCTGCCTCCAGTTGTGGTCGTGCCGCCTCCGCTGGTCAAAGTACCGCCGCTGCCTGAAGTACCACTTCCACTGGTACCTCCACTGGTGCCTCCACTGTTGCCTCCACCGTCACCTCCGCTGCCGCTGCCACTCCCATTTCCCGTCCCGGTATTTGTGTCAGTATTCGCTCCACCACTACTTCCGCCGTTGTCGTTGCCGCCGCTTCCTGGGAAGCCATTTCCATGCGAGAAGGGGTTGCTGCTGCTGACGCCGATTTGGCGACGATGGAAGGGAGGGATCACCATATCGTTTCGTGGACGGTTCATGAGCAGATATTTTGATATGTGGAGGTATAAGTTCTGTCCATACTTCTGTTTCGTATCGTTTCCTTTTACTTTTTTTTTTAAAAAAAAAAAAATAAAAATAAAAAAAACAAAAGCGTAAAATAGTATACTTACATTTATCAAATTTTCAAACCTTGAAACCATAAATCACCATTTTCTCCCAAAGAAACTACAACTTCGACCTAAGGGCGGACATGATCTATATAGCAGTGTCCCAGACCAAACATTGCTGCACAAAGTCTGCCTGCCATGCAGCGAGGGCGAAAACAGCTTTCAGATCCTACTACAGCACACTACACATGTCGTACACTGTACGTATGTGCGCATATAAGCAGCACGCATAGGCTACACAAGAGGCTGAGCATGCAGATTGTGTCACAGGCCGTCTACTGTGCCCTCCTCACGAAAAGCAAGACACACGATAAACAACACGAAACACATCCACCTTCGGGTCATTGTCTAGTCCATGACAGTATTACTGAGCGCCGTGCAACACACCCGCCGCAGTCCAAGCCTGCCGAGCCAGTTGCTCCGCGCCTGACAAAGGACATGGCCCGCATCGCTCCATCCGCATGATGCAGGCCTCGGCCGCCTGTCCGCTTGCTCTCGTGTCTGTCTGTCCGCTTGTATGCCTTGCTGTAGGTTCGCTCAAGTGCGGCCAAAGAAAAAGACTTGGCACGCGGCTGAAAGTTGACAAGTGTCGGGCTGCCCCAATCTCAAGGCCGAGGTGGCAGACAGCCAGATGTGAGACAGACCAGTTGCGTGTTGAAGCGTTTTGTCTTGACGTATGAGCAGCCGAGCATTGGACAGTCAGAACCGCTATGTGGCCATGTCATAGAATGTCTCGCTCTTTCCTTGTCGCCCCAGTCCGGCACTTTCCCTTTCACCATTGTCTTGTTTATCGTTCTTGCTGTCTTTCTCGACGCGAACGTGTACATGCAAGCCACACTACCACACCAGCCACAGGTACCCCGCCGAGTCGCTGTCCTGGTGGGGGTAGGTGCATGTTGTGGGGCCGCGGCCGTTGGTTGGTCAGGTACATCCTGCTTATCTTATCGGCACCCTTAATTTCGATTTTTTTTTTGGGCTCCTCTTTTTGCACGGCAGAATTTCTTCAACCCAATTTTTTTTCTTTTTTTCGCTTCCCTCAGGGACCACCACCACCCACCCACGGTCGCCGTCGTTGCCCTGCAGCGACCTATTTTTCTTGTCCCCTCTCTTACCCTCCTTTTCGTCGGCTCTTCTTTTTCTGCTTCTCCTCTTCTACTCCTCGATTGCTGGTATTTTCTTCTCCTTTCGTTCCCTTCTTTTCTCTCCCCCTTTCTCTTGTTTCTTCTGTTCATCATCTTGTGTCTCGTCCCCCAACAGCCACAATGGACAGCCAGAAACTTGCCAGTCTGCTCCAGGAGAGCCAGGTCCGTATGTCTCACCCTCCTCACCCTCCCGTTGCCTTATCCGCCATCCTTGCGTACTTTTCCCACCCAACTAACTCCTCCTAGCCGACACGACACGAATCAAGGCCATCACGGCCGAGCTCCAAAAGAACTACTATGCGCACCCCGAGTCGCTGCTCGCCCTCATCGAGATCGTCTGCACCCACAGCGATGTGACCGTCCGCCAGCAGGCCGCCGTCCAGGCCGCTCGCCTCGTGCCGCGCCACTGGAAGTCGCCTTCGGCCGACCAGAAGACCGCCGTCCGCAAGCACCTCCTGGATGCGACCCTTCAGGAGCAGCATGCCAAGTGCCGCCACTCGGACGCCCACCTCGTCGCCGCCATTGCCACCTTTGACTTTGACGACGGTGAGTGGCCCGAGCTGCTGCCCGCCCTCTTCACCCTGGCCACCAGCAACGAGCCCGCCCAGCGCGAGATCGGCTCCTACATAATATACTCGACCCTCGAGGCCAACCCCGCCATCTACAAGGACCACGTCCAGAAGCTGCTCGGCCTCTTTGCCCAGCTTATCAAGGACCCTGCCAGCGCCGACGTCCAGGTCAACACCGTGCTGTCCGTCGGTGCCCTGCTGGTGCTGATCGAGGCCGACGAGGACGAGGACGAGGACGCTGTGGCGGCCGTGCGCGACCTCGTGCCCCAGATGGGCCTCGTGCTCAAGAACGCCGTCGACGCCAGCGACGACGACAAGATCCAGGCCGTCTTTGACGTCCTGCAGCAGTTCCTCGTCTTCAGCCCGGCCTTTGTGGGCGTCCACCTCAAGAGCCTCGTCCAGTTCATGATCGACCTGTCCGCCAACAAGGACGCCGACGACGACGTCCGCGTCCAGGCCATGTCCTACCTGACCCAGACCGTCCACTACCGCCGCCTCAAGATCCAGGCCATGCGCGACATGGCTGCCCACCTCGTCGTCAAGAGCATGGAGATCCTGACCGAGATTGGCGACGACGAGTCCATCGACGAGGAGACCCCCGGCCACCTGGCCCTGAGCCTGCTCGACGCCCTCGCCAGCTCCCTGCCGCCCCGCCAGGTCCTCGTGCCCCTGCTGGATGAGTTCCCCAAGTACGCCTCGTCCGCCGACCCGGCGCGGCGCAAAGCCGCGATCCTGGCCCTCGGCAACTGCGCCGAGGGCGCCCCCGACTTTGTTAACACCCAGCTCAAGTCCATCCTGCCCGTCGTCGTCCAGCTGCTCAACGACCCGGACGAGACCGTGCGCCACGCCTCGCTGGTCGGCCTCACCGGCCTGGCCGAGGAGATGCCCGAGTCCATTGCCGTCGAGCACGAGGCCATCATGACGGCCATCCTCAAGAACCTGCAGGCGTCCATGGTCCCGTCCGCCAACCCGGAGGAGACCAAGAAGAACAGCCAGGTGATCCGGGCCGCCTGCACGGCCTTTGATGCCGTCTCCAACGGCCTCAAGGGCGAGACCATGAAGCAGTACGCCCTGCAGCTGATCGAGCCCATTGGCCAGCTGTTTGGCCACCCGGACCTGCGCGTCAAGATTGCCGCCGCCAGCGCCCTCGGCGCCATTGCCGAGCCGCTCGAGCAGGACTTTGCGCCCTACTTTGAGAAGAGCATGCAGGCCCTCGGCAGCTACGTGACCATCAAGGGCGAGGAGCTCGAGCTGCAGCTGCGCAGCGCCGTGCTCGACTCCATCGGCCGCATCGCCGTCGCCGTCGGCGCCAAGATGTTCCAGCCGTACGTCGTCGACCTCATGAAGGCCAGCGAGGAGGGCCTGACCCTTGAGGACGACCGGCTCCGTGAGAGCAGCTTCATCTTCTGGGCCTCGCTCGCCAAGGTCTACGGCCGCGACTTCAAGCCGTTCCTGCCGGGCGTGCTCAAGGCCCTGCTGGACGCCCTCGACGGCGAGAGCGACGACACCGTCATCAACCTGACCGACGAGGAGAAGGCCATCATCGCCGCCGGCGGTGTGTCGGGCAATGTGCTGGTCGGCGGCAAGAAGGTCAAGATTGAGGACCTCAATGCCGAAGACCTCGACGCGTCGGACCTCATGGGCGACAGCGACGACGACGACGATGACGACGACGACGACTGGGCCAACATTGACAGCGAAGCCGAGGAGAAGGAGGTCGCCATCGAGGTGCTGGGCGACATCATCTCCAACGCCTGCGGCGAGGAGGAGATGCAGGAGTTTTTGGAGAAGGCTGTGAGCGCCGCCGTCGACCTGACTGAGCACCACTACGGCGGCGTGCGCAAGGCGGCCGTCGGCATGCTGTGGCGCTCGTATGCGCGCGTGTGGCAGCTGACCGAGGAGTCGACGGGCAGCAAGTGGCAGCCGGGCTTCCCGCCCAAGGCGGCGCCCACACCGCTGCTGACCAAGCTGGCCGAGATGGTTGTGCGTCCGACCCTCGACCTGTGGACCGACGAAGCTGAGCGGTACGTTCCTGCGCTTTGCATACTTTGACTTTTTTTTTTGCGATTCCCCTCCTCCCCTCCCCGCACGATATGATGATCACCTTGCGTTACACCCAGCTCACTCAGACGCATTACATGCGAATGCTGCGAAAACGTCTAATCTACCTGTCTGATCGATGCCATTACTCTGGGCCTTGCCGTTAATCGGGTTTTTTCTTTTCTTTTTTTTCTTCTTCCGACGCTTGCTAACAGAGTAGTGATGTCGTTACGGACGTCAACCGCAACGTGGCCGCCACCCTCGAGACCTGCGGCCCCGCCATCCTGGCCCAGGAGAACGCCGTCCAGGAGATTGTGTCGGTTCTCGGGCAGATCATCACCCGCTCGCACCCGTGCCAGCAGGACGTCGGCGACGAGGAGGATGCGCAGACCGCCGAGGAGAGCTCCGAGTACGACTGGCTCGTGGTCGAGACCGCGCTGGACGTCGTCATGGCCCTGGCCACGGCCATTGGCTCTGCCTTTGGCGAGCTGTGGAAGATCTTTGAGAAGCCCATCACCAAGATTGCCAGCTCCAACGAGTCGTACGAGCGCTCGGCGGCCGTCGGCACCATTGCCAGCTGCGCCGGCGCCATGGGCGCCACCGTCACGCCGTACACGACGCCCCTGCTCAAGCTCATTGTGCACCGCCTCAGCGACGAGGACCTCGAGACCAAGAGCAACGCCGCCTTCGCCGCGGGCCAGCTGGTCGCCAGCTCCACGGACAGCAAGACGTACCTGGCCGCCTACCCGACGCTCCTCGAGAAGCTCGAGCGCCTGCTGGCCATGGACGACACGGGCCACCGCATGTACGACAACGCGGCCGGCGCGCTGTGCCGCCTGATCACGGCGCACCCGGACCAGGTGTCGATCCCCGACTACCTGCCCGCCGTCGTGGCGCGCCTGCCGCTCAAGGAGGACTACGAGGAGAACAAGAACATTTACACGTGCCTCTTCCACCTGTACGAGCATAGCGAGCCGACGGTGCAGCAGCTGACGCCGCAGCTGCTGCCCGTGTTCCAGCAGGTGCTGGGCGCGCCAGAGGAGCAGCTGGACGACGAGACGCGCGCGCTTGTGCAGCAGATTGTGGCCAAGCTCAACTAGAAGCCGATTTTGTTGTTGGTGATGGTGTTGTTGTTTTATTTTTGTGCTTGACGACGACATAATGAAGAAGAACCCAGGGTACAGAAAAGTTTTTTTTTTTTTTTTCTTGATTTTCAGCCTTTTGTTTCCTACTGTCTCATGAACATATTCAAGAGGAGGACCCTGCAGCAACCGGAGCAGCACAGTCAAGTCATTCTTCATGTTAATGCCTTTCCATTTGACGACGTTTATGCTAGGATGGTACTACGATGGACAAGGTGACTCTTGCACGTGTCTGCCCTTTATCCCCTATTTTCACTTATTTTGTCTGATTTGTCATCTGATTTGTCGTCTTTCATTTGCCTTTTCGATTTGTCTTTTTGATTTGTCTTTCTATATACCAGCTTTGCTTTTAGACCACTTCGTCGCACACAGACCATTCCACATCCATATGCTTCTCACACGTCAATCACACCACACACCATAGCACCGCAGCTTCTTGCAGAATTAAACATAGTTTCCATTCCCTCCACCCTCGTTACCCATAAATATATTATTCTACTTTTAATCTTTGCTCGCGCCGGGACCGGCATCCTGCAAGCTTCATCCTTTGAATCCTTAGCTTTCGTGGGAGAGGGGTAGCGCCGAGGTTTGCTTTTGGGCCAATCGGCACCGCTGATTAATCATCGACGAGCCGCCCGCGTCCGTCTACGAGAAGCGGCGTGGAAGGCGAAAATGCGAAAAGGCGAAAAGGCACAAAGCGGCGGCCATGGTCGATAACGTCATGTTTGTTGATTAATCGTGCCTGGATGGCCCAGCGCCCACCTTGCCGTTGGTGGGCCCTCGCGTTTCTGAGCTCTCCGCGACGAAGGTGATATTATATATAATACAAGGACGCGGGGGCGGGAACGGTCTGCTTGTGTTTGTCGAACATTGAATGGATTTCAATTTCTCGAGTTTATCGTGCCTCAATCTTTGAAACAGCTCTACGACACAGCCACGTCTCCAACAGCCAACACGCCCACGATGGTCGCGAACAAGACGCTCATCTACAAGCGCATCCCCACGGGCGCTCCGGTCGCGGGCCAGGACCTTGTCGTCGAGGACCGGCCGTTTGACCTGGACGCGCCGCCGCCGGCCGGTGGCGTGGTCGTCGAGGTGCTCTGGGTGTCCTACGACCCGTACCTGCGCGGCAAGCTGCGCGACCCGTCGATCCCATCGTACTCGCCGGCGTTTGAGCTCGGCTCGCCCATTACCAACGACGGCGTGGCGCGCGTCATCAAGTCGGACGATCCCAAGCTGCCCGAGGGCACGCTGGTGCTCGCGTACATGCCCATTGCGCAGTACGTGGCCCTCCCCGCGGACGTGCCGACCAATCGGGGACTGCCCGGCGTGCGCCCCGTGGACAACCCATTTGGGCTGGACCTGGGCCACTTCTTGGGTCCGCTGGGCATGCCTGGCCTGACGGCGTACTCGGGCCTCTACGAGATTACCAAACCGAAAAAGGGCGAGACACTGTTCGTGAGCTCGGCGGCGGGCGCCGTGGGCCAGATGGTGGGGCAGATTGCCAAGCGGCTGGGCCTGCGGGTGATTGGGTCGGTGGGCTCGGACGAGAAGCTGGACTTTGTCGTCCGGGCGCTGGGCTACGACGCCGGGTTCAACTACAAGAAGGAGGCGCCCGCCGACGCGGTCAAGCGGCTGGCGCCGGACGGCATCGACATTTACTTTGACAACGTGGGCGGCGACCACATGGAGGCGGCGCTGCAAAACATCAAGGTGCACGGGCGCGTGGTGGTGTGCGGGACGATTTCGGACTACAACAAGCCGCAGGGCCAAAAGGGCGGCATCAAGGACATGTTCCGGTTCGTGCAGAAGCGGATCCTGGTGCAGGGGATGCTCGTGGGCGACGCCAACTTTGGGCCCAAGTACGCGGCGGAGCACCAGAAGAACGTGCAGCAGTGGCTGCACGAGGGCAGCTTCAAGAGCAAGCTGAGCGTGACGGAGGGCATCGACAACGCGGCGGACGGGTTTGTGGGGATGCTGGAGGGGAAGAACTTTGGCAAGGCGGTGTTGAAGATTAAGGACTGAGCGGGGGGGCAGGCGGGTATTCGAGGATGGATGGCTTCGGCCAGAGGACGGAGGATGGCAACCGGCAGCATACATCAGAGAACGAAAGCCCATTCAGATGGAACGAATGCTATGAGGAGTGTATCGAAGTTGGTCGGAGGTTTGAGGTCGGAGCCCGGCAGAGCAAAGAAACAAGTTCGTGTTGCATAAGCAAGATACTAAAATTACGAAAATAAAAGCACAAAGCTGAAAGACCGTCAGGACCTCACCGTCGACTCATTTATTGACCCGTGGCTGCAACCCCAGATTCTGTATTAGTCGGGTTGATTGCCCCGATCCCCGCAAAGGATGTGCCTAGATTGGCCTGTGCCCGTGTAAGTGGTTATTATTCTATTTAAGGAAATTGGCTTTTGCTGCCACTTTTGAATAGCACACAGTCTCACCCCATACTACCCACACAACTCGCCGCCCCAACGACCATGGCCCACGCATATTCCCTCTTCCCCGAGGTGCAGCCGGCGTACGTCGACGGCCGCAAAGTCGGCGAGCAGACCAAGTACCCGGGCACGCCGTACTTCCAGGGCGGGCTGAAGCCGACGCGCATCGAGGGCGACGTGTTCCAGCTGGAGACGACGGGGACGATCCCGCACGACATCCGCGGGACGTTCTACCGCATCCAGCCGGACCCGCGGTTCCCGCCGGTGTTTGAGGACGACGTGCACTTCAGCGGCGACGGCGCGGTGACGGCGTTCCAGTTTGCCGACGGGCACGTCGACGCCAAGCAGCGCTACGTGCAGACGGACCGGTACCGCGCGGAGACGCAGCACCGCAAGGCGCTGTTTGGGCGGTACCGCAACCCGTACACGGACAGCGAGGCGGTGCGCGGCGTGATCCGCACCGTGTCCAACACGAACATTACCTTTTGGCGCGGCGCGATGCTGGCGTCCAAGGAGGACGGCCCGCCGTTTGCGCTGGACCCGGTGACGCTGGCGACGCTAGGCCGCTACGACTTTGAGGGCCAGGTGCAGGCGCCGTGCTTCACGGCGCACCCCAAGTTCGACCCGGCCACAGGCGACATGGTGGCGTTTGCGTACGAGGCGGGCGGCGACGGGCACGACGCGTCGACGGCGCTCGTGGTGTGGACGTTTGACGCGGCGACGGGCGCCAAGACGGACGAGTCATGGTACGAGGCGCCGTACTGCGGCATGATCCACGACGCGGCCCTCACGCCCAACTACCTGGTGCTGCCGCTGACGCCGCTCAAGGCCGACAAGGTGCGCATCGCCGCCGGCGGCAACCACTGGGCCTGGGACCCCAACGAGGACCAGTACTACGGGCTGGCGCCGCGCAAGGGCGGCCGCCCGCAGGACATTGTGTGGCTGCGGTCCAGCAACGCCTTCCACGGGCACGTCGCGGGCGCCTACGAGAACGAGGACGGCCACGTCGTCGTGGACCTGACGGTGGCCGACGGCAACGTCTTCTTCTGGTGGCCGTCGCCCGCGGAGGCGGCCGAGGCGGCGGCGTCCGGCAAGCCGGCGCGGCGGCCGCAGCTGCAGTCCGACACGGTGCGCTGGGTGCTCGATCCAGCGCTGCCGTCTGGCTCCTACGTCCAGCCGGCGCGCCAGTACGGCACCAACGGCGAGTTCTCGCGCATCGACGACCGCTTCGTCACCAAAAAGTACCGCCATTTCTGGCAGCTGCAGATCGACCCGACGCGGCCGTACGACTTTGCCAAGTGCGGCCCGCCGGCGGGGGGGCTGTTCAATGTGCTGGGCCACTACGACTGGGACTCGTTGGACGGAAGCGGTGGCACTGGCCAGGCCGTCCGCGACGAGTGGTTTGCCGGGCCGACGTGCACGTTCCAGGAGCCCGTGTTTGTGCCGCGGCCCGGGTCGACGGCCGAGGGCGACGGCTACCTGCTGCTGCTGCTCAACCACCTGGACGTCCTCCGCAACGACATTCTCATCTTTGACGCCCTCCACATCGCCCAGGGCCCGCTGGCGGCCGTGCACCTGCCCATCCAGATGCGCCTGGGCCTGCACGGCAACTTTGTGGAGCAGGACGAAATTGAGCGCTGGGCCAAGCGCCGGGCGCCCGACGGCGACTTGGGGCCGGTCCAGGTGGCCACGGCACCGCTGCCCTGGCAGGTGGCTCTGCAGGAGAAGGACGCGCGCAATGGCAGCGGAACCAATGGAGCGTAGGGGTCGATGTCGGAGTAGATAGTGTCCGTCCTCCGGTGCGGCTCGAATGCCATAGTATGGCTTTGTTTGATTTTAGTTATGCCAAATGTATTCTGTTCCCGTATAGCGTACATAACTGCGTCTTTCCGTCGCCTGCCTTGCTTCCTAGCGTGTTGTTTCGTCTTGTGAGTGTCGGATCACGGCACGACAGACGTCGTCGGATGGACTGTGTGGACTGTGATCGCAGCAAACGACAGACAAGGTGGACGCCAGCATCGCGCCTGCCCCCGCAAAACCATGAATTGCAGCGTGCGGGGAAGGTTCTCGGTGCTTCAGGGGTGGGAAGCGCCGCGATCCGCTAACCGCTAGTGCATCTGACTGCTGCGGCAGGAGCTCGTAGCTCCTGTAAGCGAGTGGACACCATTGTTCCTAGACAGAAACCATCCCCTCGGGACCATCACGCCGAACTGCTGTCTCTGTGTCTGCACCCTTTGCTCACGGCGTGTTATTTGTTTTTTACCACTTCTGGAATAGGCAGGTTGCCCTACAGCCAAGACGGCCTGCCACCAGATCACTCCGCATTGTCCCCGCAAAAGGTTACCTGCCGCCGGCCGCCTGTTGTCTGCAGTCGTTCGCTTTGCTCGCCAGGATCCTGCGCATCATCTCCATTCTCGTACGCCTGTATTGATGCGTGTGCGTGAGGGGCCTATTTTGTAGACCTGCCTATGCTTGCGAGCACCGTCGCAGGATAAATACGAGTCGCGAGGCAGACGACGCTCTACTTGTTCATTCACCCGGAACTCCCACTCTTTCACTCACTTTGCACCACTCATCTCATTTTCTCCCATTCATATACACACCTCTCACACAATGGCCGACGAAGTCGCTCAGCTCAAGCAGACGGTTGCGGCCCTGCAGAAGCAGGTGATTACGCTGGATGGTACGTCCTCTTGGCAATTGGCGTCGCGTCACACACTGAATATCCAGCCCTCATTGCTGTCCACTAACACACCCAGACCAGGAACAAATCCGCCGGCTGCAGTACACGTACGGCTACTATCTGGACAAGTGCCTGTACAAGGAAGTCGCGGAGCTGTTTGCCGAGAACGAGGACACGTATGTGCAGTTCCTCGGCGGCCGCTACCTGCACAAGGAGGGCGTCCAGCGGCTGTATCTTAAGCGCTTTGGTGGCTTCTTTGTGGGCGGCCGCAACGGCCCCGTCCACGGCTTTCTGCTCGACCACCCGCAGATGCAGGGCATCGTCGACGTCACCTACGACGCGGCCGATGGCCAGCCGCGGGCCGCGGGCCGCTTCCGCTCGCTGATGCAGGCCGGCGTGCACATCAGCCAGGCCGACCGGCACCCGCGCGGTTTCACGCAGTGGTTCGAGGGCGGCATCTACGAGAATGAGTACATCAAGGAGAAGGGCGTCTGGAAGATTTTGCACCTGCGCTACTTCCCCTTCTGGCACGGCGACGTCGAGCACGGCTGGGGCTACAAGGTGGCCGGCTTCGTGCCCTTCCCCACCAAGGTGTTCCCCGAGGATCCCCTGGGCCCCGACCAGCTCGTCGCCGCCGACCAGCGCATGCTGTGGCCCGACTGCCGCGTGGTGCCGTTCCACTACACGCACCCCATCACGGGCGAGCAGGTCAGCGACGTCGACATGCAGGCGCCGCTGTACGGCGGCGACGCTAAGGACGCGCTGCCGGCCCTGAAGCTTGTGGGGTAAGATGGAGGTTGATGTGGCCAACAATGGGCGGCATGACGATGTGTATGGACGATGATGCAGCTGTACATAGTCATTAGTCATGCATTGTGATGAGTAGCAAAGATCAAAGCTTCTTGTGTGATTGGTTACATTTGTCGTGATTTATGTGCTTGAAAGTTTGGGGTGAAAAGAGAGAGCAAGAGGACCCTCATGAATACGCACCGTGACTACTTACGATTTACGTTGTCTGTATGCATATCGTTCATTGAGTTTGCAAAGTCCGTTCACTCGGCTGTATTCTATATACATATTCACTACCTGCTTGATATTTGTCCACAACTCACAACTCACAACTCCAACGGCAGCTTAAACAGCTTGATGGCGTTGGTGCGGCCAATGGCCTCCTTGTCCGCGTCCGGCAGGTCCACGTTCTTCCACCAGTCCTGGGCCACCTTGACGGAGTCGTAGGGGTAGTCGATGGCGTAGAGGCAGCGGTCGACGCCGAGCTCGCCGATGCAGAACTTGAGCCCCTGCGTGGAGAAGTTGCCCGACGTCGTGATGGACACGTTGTGCGTAAAGTAGTAGCGGTAGTCTTCCTTGGAGGGCCGGCTCTGCTTCTTGACGGGCTTGTTGTACCAGTGGTCGGCGCGCACCAGATTGAAGGGGATGCCCTCGCCGAGGTGGCCGGCGACGACCTGCACGCGCGGGAAGCGGTCGAAGACGCCGCTCGAGCAGAGCGCGTAGAGGTGGAAGCTGAGGTCCAGGTGGAACTGCACGCCGGCGCCCAGAAGGTGCGTGCGGCCGGCGTACTTGCCGTGCGGCGCCGCGAGGTCGCGGCCGGTGGCGTAGCGCGGGTGCAGGTAGACGGGGACGTCGAGGTCCTGCACGGCGGCCCAGAAGACGTCGTACGCGGGCTCGTCGTAGTACCGGCGGCCGTCCAGATCCGAGTCGCTCGAGGCGACGCTCTGAAAGTCGTTGAGGATGGCGCCAAAGGCCCCCAGCTCGCGCACGGCCCGCGTCAGCTCCGCGGCCGCGTCGGCGGGCGAGTGCATCGACAGGCTGGCCAGGGCGCCGAACCGCGTGGGCGCTTTGCGGGCCTCGGCCGCCAGCCAGTCGTTGGCCTCGACAGCCAGTGTCTGGGCCTCGACGGGGTCGACCACGCCCTGGGCCCCGGGCGACGTGAGCGACAGCAGCATGTACTCGACGCCCTCGGCGTCCATGTGGGCCAGTCGGGCCTCGTGGATGTCCAGCAGCGCCGCCGTCAGCGGGTGCTTGACGCTGGCGACGTCAGTGCCGGTGCCGCGGCCGTACGCCGGAGCGAAGAGGGTGGCATCGCGGGCGTTCCGGGCGATGCCCGTGGGGTCCAAGACGGCCTCTTCAATAGCAACTGTGCCGCGCATGGTGGAACGAACACAGGAAGTCGTGAAGCAGTTGAATCAAACGATGAGAAACTGACTTTAATGGCTATTGGTTTGATTTTGATTTGATTTGATTTAATTTTGATTTCAATTTTTGAACATGACTATTGATATGAGTGACACCTGATATGACATCAAACTCGCATCGACTTGTCGCCGGTGTACTCCCTCCTCCCACGCCTCGTTCTTGTTCTCCTCTCCAGCACTATCCCCTACCCCAACTTTCGGTCGAGCTTGGCGCCGATTTGCCTTGTCTCCTCATTTTGATACTGCCGTTGTTCTCGACTGGGGTCGAGTGTGCTTGCTTTACCCCGTCTTTTCCATTCGTCTCTTGCTTTCCGTCTTTCCCGTCGTCCCGTTCCCCTCATTTGGTGTCGTGGACTGTCGCATGTCGTCGGCTCGATACTTCCGACGATTGGTAAGTACGTCGTATTTCACCGTGGAACAACGATGTACCAGAATGTCAGGGTTTGCCATAGCATCAATGCGTTGGCTGGTCAGGAAGATTGACGCCGACTGTCGATGCCCGCGATGTCCGTGATTTCCATGTTGGCGACCGTTCGAGTCCGTTGACCTTGATTCTCCACGTCGACTTAGACTGCTGACGGTCTGCAAATGGACACGTTCCAGACGTCGTCTTATGTGTGTCAGCACTAATGCAGGCTGCATAAGTATGCAGTCGGGTGATATGTCGTACAATTTTAAAAGTATCAAAAATCGTTGTACTACCGAATCTATCGACTCCCTCCTACAGCTTCGCCACCTTGATAATGACACTCTTGGTCTCCAAAAAGTTGTCGAGGCTGTGCAGCCAGCCCTCGCGGCCCTGGCCAGACATCTTGTAGCCGCCAAAGGGCAGGTCGCGGGCGGTGGCCGGGCTGGTGCAGTTGACGCCGACGTAGCCGCTCTCGAGCGCCTTGGCGATGCGCAGGGCGCGGTCAATGTCCTTTGTGTAGACGCTGGCGTAGAGGCCGTACTCGGTGTCGTTGGCGCGCGCGACGGCCTCGTCCTCGGTCGCAAACGTGTTGATGAGCACGACGGGGCCAAAGACCTCCTCCTTCATGATGCGCGCCGCGTCGGGCGTGTCGACGAAGACGGTGGGCTCGACAAAGTAGCCGCCCGTCGTGTCGAGGCTGCCCTTGCCGCCGAGCGCGAGGCGGCCGCCCTCGGTCTTGCCCTCCTCGATGTAGGCCAGCACGGACTTGTACTGCACCTCGTCGGCCTGGGGCCCGTGGTTGACGGCCTTGTCGAGCGGGTTGCCAGCGGTGACGGCCTGGAAGCGGCGGGCAAAGGCCTCCTGGAAAGCGGGCGCGGCGGCGGCCTCGACGTAGATGCGCGAGTTGGCCATGCAGACCTGGCCCGAGTTCCACTGGATGCTGTTGACCGTCTCCTCGACGGCCTTGTCCATGTCGGCGTCGGCAAAGACGAGCGCGGGCGACTTGCCGCCGAGCTCGAGCGTGACCTTTTTGAGGTTGCTCTGCGCGGCCATTTCCTGGATCAGGCGGCCGGTGCGGCCGCTGCCCGTAAACGACAGCGCGCGCACGTCCATGTGCCGCGCCAGCACGGCGCCGCTCGGCAGGCCGTGGCCCGACAAAATGTTGAAGACGCCCGGCGGGAAGCCCGCCTCGACGACCAGCGCCGCCACGCGCGCCGACGTCAGCGGCGCCTTCTCACTCGACTTGAGCACGACCGTGTTGCCGGCAATCAGCGCGGGCGCCGCCTTGCTCGACAAAAACAGCAGCGGCACGTTCCACGGGATGATGGCCGCCACGACGCCCACGGGCTGCCGCAGCGTCAGCGTCACGTAGCCGGGCGTGTTGAGGCTCGACTGGCCCTGGATGTGCGGCCACGCCTCGGCGTAGTGCTCAAAGTTGCCCGCCGCCGCAAACGCGTCAAAGTACGCCGCGACCGGCCGGCCCATGGACACGGCCTCGAGCTCGGCCAGCTCGCTCGAGTGCTGGCGCAGCAGTTCTGCCAGCTTGCGGAAGGGCGCCGCGCGGGCCGAGGGGTCCAGGGCCGACCACGCAGGGAACGCGGCCTTGGCTGCGGCGACGGCGGCGTTGGCATCCTGCTCGCTGGCCTCGGGCACGTCGGCGACCTTGTCGCGCGTGGCCGGGTTGTAGAGCGGGAACGTGTTCTTGTCGGAAGCTTCGACGAGCTGGGCGGAGGGGGAGGACATGTGTGTTAGTAGACGTCCAGTGAAGCGAGGTAGAGAGGCATGGGACTATAACTATATTTACCTCTCCGTTGATGAGCAGTTTGGGCGAGATGGAGACAACCATGATCGCGGTGTGTAAATAAAGAACAATGCGTTGCACGACGAATGATGCAAGGATAGAAAGATAGATGCAGACGGGCGACAGACGACGATGGAGGATGGACGCAGGACAGAGTCTCGGCAAGGAGGACTAATATAGAACACGGAATGCTCCCCTCGTTTGCAGAGCAAGTAGAATAAATGGACACGACGTATGAGGACAGAATACACTAGACGGATGGAGTAGGTCGCAGACAGATACAAAGACACATAGACACGTAAACACATAGACATAGACACAGACACCTTGGCACAGACACACAGACGACACTGCAGCCCATGCTCCGCATCTTCCCGCTCTTAGGCCACTGCAAAACTGCGTCGGCAGGATGTCGGGGATCCATGCAGAAAACACTACCGTGAAGAAACATTGTAACGAAGAAATAAAGACGGGGCTAAAGAGGGACAGGAAAGGGAAGGGCCTGCAGAATGGGGTAGACTGACAAATGTGGACTGGACGGCAGTGCCAAGTGCCTCTGAGTGTAAAAAGGGTGGAGAGGGCCAACGAGGGCGAAAGGAGCATATCTCCGCATTTCAGAACCAAAAAAGAACCACGCACCCGGTGTTTATCCACCCGCGCCGTCGGCAGAAGAGATTCTCCGCAGAGAGATCCTTGCGATGATGTATAGTCGTTTTGTGGCATTCACTATTCATTTTGGTTAAATAAACCATGTTGTGCAAAATACAATAGAAATAAAATATATAAATCAGACTTCCCGTCTTCCAGTAAGTACGTGGACGTTTGTGTTTGTTCAAAGAGTCTAACCAAGCCGACCTGCGCCTCTCCTCGCACGGCTTCCCATAGATTGCCTGTTCGTCTGCTGACATTGCTTCCCACTTTTCACTTGCGTAGTTGATGTCTCCCTTGGGCCAGGCCTGGGCCTCTTCCGAGTCCTGGACAGACTCGTGGAAGATGTTAAAGTCTCGCTTCGGCGAATACCCCAAGGGCCAACCAGGAGGCGTCTCATGGAATGGCGGTGGCTCACGACCCTCGGCGAGGTTTTGCTTGCGGGCCTCCTCCTCCTCGGACGTCCACTCGTTGATGGCCGCCACATACTGGTCGTGGGGGATCGTTTGCATGTAGACAGGTTGTGCCATTTGATGTGGAATGATTGGGCTCCAGTTCGACCAAGGCGGCATTTGCGTGGCCGCGGGATTCAACAGTTTACTTTTGCTGTTCGGTGTGTAGACGAGTCTGCCACCATCATGCGACAGACGTAGGCCAAAGGGGTTGGGCACGGGCCAAAGGGGTTGGGCACGAGCTGGAGACGGGGCGCCGGCGGATACGTGCGAACGAGCTGTCGAATGGATTCGTCGTATTGTTCTCTTGGGCCCAGCTCGAGGTCGGGCGACGACTTGAACTGCAGAGCAAACCGCGCATCGAGGCCACAATGTTCGTATATGCCTCGCCCCAGTCGTTGTCGCCCTTGATGCTCAAGAGCTCGTCCGCCATCTCATCAATCACCCGGTAAACTCGGATCGGCCCAAGAATGCGAAGAGGTCCGTCCGGGTCGGATCGTCCGGGAACGGGAAATTGCTGTACACGAGGATAGACCGGGACATAAGAGACGGGCCCACCAGGTTCAAAGTCAAAAGGTCGTCTCGGCGGGTCGGCATTCTGTTGATGTTGAGGTTCGTTTTGACTCGAGTTGACAGAGCTAGCGGCAGCTCCTTGGCCACCGAGACCCCCGAAGCCACCGAAAGCACTCAGCCCACCAAGACTAGTAGGTGTTAAAGTAACCGGCGGGATTTGTGCTGGTGGAGGTGGAGGCGGAGGCGGTGGTGGCGGCGGAATGCTTGCCGGCTGTCCTGGATGTGATGATTCACGGGGTTGAGAGGATGCCACCGTCGGCCCAACTGTTGGAATAGGCGCGAATTGCTGACCGGGGTTCTGTAACATTGCCTCCCCTGACTCGTTCATCTTGTTGTCCACATAATGTTTTATGATGGCGTCGAGACTCTGCAGGGACAGACCCTCCGCCCTGAGTGCCAATTTGTAGGCCTCGCTGTTGCCGGGAACGGCCATCGCGTCAGCATGGGCCATCCTCTGTGCTCTGTATCCCGCCGCCGGCTCGGCTTGATGGAAATTGGTTGCTAAAAGCTGCATCGCTCGAGGCGGCAAAGAATCAGAACCATCGCGCTCGAGTTTTGCGACAAGCTCGGCCGGCGTGCTCATCTGGACGTCCATGTCCTTGGTCGCGGCACGGATGCGTTCCTCGACAACACCAGGCGATGGTCAGCCGATAATTTCGTAGCGCTGGGCCTGGGTCAACAAGTGCTTTGCGCCAATCAGGGCGCGGCTGTAAATGTCGCCGCGAGCCAAAATCATAGTACAGTCGCTGCTCGTCAACGAGTCGGGATCGTTGAGAGCTCTGTCATACACCTCCTGTGGGATGGAATGTGCGACAGGATTTCCGGTGCGTAGCGATTCGAGTCGCAGCCGTTTGCGGACTCGGATCTCTTCCCGGATGGAATTGGCCAGGCAGGCATCGGCCTCCTTCCTTTCCCGCAGCTCCTCAACTGTGATCAAGTAGCCGTCGTCGTCACGGACGTATTCTATCGCAATCGCATCTTCGCTGTCGGCTCCGCCGCTTCCGCTCACGCCTGGTTGTTCCATGCTGCGTTGTGTCCGGGGACAGCGTGTTCGAGAAGTTATGTGAAAAGGAACGGTAAAACATTCATAAAAAGGGGGCCGGGGTGAGGTCGGACCTAGGCAGCATATCAGAATAACGTGACCAAACACGGAACGAGTCCAACGTCAGGAGTACAAGACAGAGACGTCGAGAAAAAAGAGTTGTATTTATATGCGGTCGTGAGAGCGGCTGAGGGCGGGGCCAATCAGCAACGAACTGTGGCCCCATATTTCCCGATTGGGACGGCCGTCCACGGGGGCGGCCACAACAGTGTGTTCTCCTGTCCAATAACAACACCCTAACAGACATGAACATAACATAACACAGCATTACACACACTATCTAGCCATAGAGCACTTTCATACAAGACGCACAAAAACTATTCATAACTAAATGAATGTTTCTGAGAAAATCTAAACCTTGGTAAATAAACCTGAGCGGTACCGCATCCTCGGCTGGCCGGCGCCGGACGTCGTCGAGCAGCGCATCCGTGCGGCCACGAAGCCCACGGGCACGGAGCTGAGCACGCCGGCCGAGCTGTTCGCCAAGGCCGTGCGCCAGGGCACGCACACGCTGACGCCGATCGAGTGTCATTTGCTGGGCCATGGGTTCCGCGTCGAAGAGTCCGCGTTTGAGGACGACGACTTTAGCGACGAGGAGCAGGAACGGGCAAACAAGAAGGCCAAAACCATGGCCTCGTCGCTGTTTAACCAGTTCGGGATACCGGGCAACCGGGAGGCATACGTGGCCGCCGGCAAGGAGGAGGGTGTCAACTCGCCGGTTGTGGCCCATGCGCTGATGCAAAGCATAAACGCACACAGTCGCAAGCACGCTGCGTAGTTCGGGCAGCCCATCCCGGCCCTCTGGAAAGCACCAGGGCCGTCGGCGTCAACGGGACAGCCTGCCGAGGAGCCTGCCGAGGAGCAGGAGGACGAGTCTTCCCGAGCGCCGGAACCTGCCAGACTGCCCGCCGAGCTCCTTGTTAGTCCCGGTACTCCCTTCTTCCGGCGTCAGCTCAGTTCCAGTTCCGCCGTCACACAACCTGGATTCGGTCTGCCTGGCCAGCCTCCTTTTCAACCACAGCAATGGCCCGGCTTTGGTTCTGGCTTGCCCGGTAGTCATGGTCTCCCTGGCGCGCCTGGTGGTCTTGGCCTGCCTGGTGCGCCCGGTGGTCTCGGTCTTCCTGGAGCGCCTGGTGCATCAACGACATCAAGTCCAGGTGTACAAGAGGGATAGGCGACGTCCGTTGGCCCCGGGCCAGCAAAGGCCGCAGGTATTCTTGACGAGGTTACCAAGGCTCTCCTGTACATACACGGCGAGCGCCGGACAAAACGGATGGGCCGCAACGACTTTGATGAACGCTTCAACAACATCGTGGCATCGATACATGGGCTCGCGGACCGGTTCGCCGCGGCGTTGCCGCCCACCCCGCTACATCCGCTCTTTCGGGGTCCATTACGCGACCAAATTCCCCTTCTTCCGCCGAGTCGTGTTTTTGGACCAAACCCGTTCGGGCTGCGCCTGTCGCACGATGGCAGCCAAGTCAACTCGGCTGGCCCCTACACTACGCGCGACGAGCTGCCACGCTCGAGCACGTAGGTCGCGCCGTGGACGGTTTGGAGCGCCACCATCCCGCATCGGATGATGGAGCCCAGCAAGCGCGGTATGGGCATCGACGAATTCATAACGTCCATCCAGGCATGGACGGACAAGGAGGAGGCGGCCTGGCGCCACTACCGCGCGGCACGAGCCGCCGCCCGTGGCGTCGGCCAAGAGGCGGAGGCGGAGGCGCAGCCGCCGCTCTTTTTCCATACGCCACCGTCGTGGCCGATATCGTCGAGCGACAAACAGCCGTTCAACGTCTACTACGAGTCGGTCCAGGACACCGACGCCGCCAAGGCATGGCCAAGCGGTGAGATCCAGTACGCAAAGCACAAGTGGGACGCCATGACGGAGGGCGAGAAGGCCGTGTACGTCACGCTGTGCGAAGAACAACGGCGGCAGGCCTGGGTCGAGACGTTCCGATTCCCTCGGCGGTTCCAATAGTCATGTGGGCGTGTGGGCTGTGGGAGGCCATCGTTGGATCCATTTTAAAGGTGTTGAATCACAGCATGCGGTTGAAAATGCCATACTTTCGTCATTCAATATATAACATAGAATACAGTCAGCATGATTACCATTATCACCATTATCACCCCCATCACATCTGTAGTCCCCCGTGCAGCGTGTCTGGAAACTGGTCGCCCAGCATCGAGGCGGTGCCGTCATCGTAAACAGAAAAGAAGGGGTCGTTCATGTCGGAAAAGTATGCCTCCATGACGCCGGAGATTCTGGGGAGAAGGGGCAAGTTAGCACAAAGTCAAAGATATAAAATCAAAGATATAAAATCAAAGATATAAAATCAAAGGCATCAAATCAAAGACATCAAATCAGGGGTACACCGGGTGTGCACAGATCGACATACAAATTGGTCTGCTGCTGCTGGATGTCGAGGAAAAAGTGGCCCGGCGTAGGCGTCTCGCCCTGGGGACTGAAATGCTGGTCGCCGTTGAGCAGCCCGTTCTCCTCGAGCTGCGCCATGACCTCGAGCACGGCGTGCCCCGTCCAGAAGATCTGCTCCATGCCCTGGAGGATGCGCAGACAGGCGCGCACGTGCTCGGCCTGGGACGGATCGCCGCGGGCGAGCCCGAGCAGGAAGACCTGCAGCACCTCGAGGATGCAGCCGGTGTCGAGGGTGATGAGGCTGCTGAGGAGGCCGGCGTCCTGCATGACGCCGACGACGGCCAGCGACTGCTGGGCAGCCTCGAGGCAGGTGGCGCCAAAGGCCTCGAACGCGGCGCGCTTGGCGGGCGGCAGGGCGGCCAGCGACGCGCTGTGGAGGGCGCTGTAGAGCAAAAAGGGCCGTGTGGCGAAGATGGTGGCGCTCCAGTAGCGCAGGTGCAGGACGGCGACGGAGCGCTGGTGGAAGGATGCGGCGCGGGCGACGTCGCGCAGATGCGGCGGGATGGCCGCGTACCAGGCGCGCAGGCTGGCCAAGACGTCGCGCACGGCGGCCAGGGACGGTTTGGGAGCAGCGGCGGCGGTGGCCGACGGCGAGGCCGATGACGGCGACGACGATGACGGCAGAAGCTGCGATGGCGACGCCGACGTAGCGGGTGGTGTGGATGCTGCGACGGCCGGCATCGTCGATGACGACGACACCGACGACGACGACTGCCGGTCGTACAGCAGCTTGCACAGCCGTCGTCGGATCTGCGCCAGCGAGCACGACACCGTCAGGTAGTCCAGCGGCATGTGCGAGCCCGGCGACAGAATCTGCTCCGACAGATCGTGCACCCGTCCGCCGCTGCCACCCGCCGCCGCCGCCGCCGCTACTCCACCTCCACCACCACCCCCGCCGAGGGTATGCTCATCGCTGATGCCGGGGGGTTGCCGTAGCACAGCGCCACGTCCAGGTCGATCAGGAACAGCGTCGAGTAGAGCCGCAGGTCCACCTGCCGCTGGAGACAGCCCTTGGGCTCGATCGCGCGCTGCAGGTGCAACCCCAGCGTCAGCGAAATGCGCGCGGCCGCGCCAATGTAGATGTACGCCGTGTTGCTGAACATGCTGCTCTGCAGGGCCAGCGCCAGCAGACACAGGGCGCGCACGCTGTCCGAGTCGGCCTCGTCGCAGAGCGCGCTGACGAGGCCCTTGGCGAGGGCCAAGTAGCGCGCAGCGGGTGGTGGTGGCGCGGTGCCGGCTGTCCCTCCACTTCCACTTCCACCTCCGCCTCCAGCTGCTGCGGGGACCGTTGACGACGACGCAGACACCTGCGCCTGCTGCGCCTCACTCTCGCAGGTGAGGGCCAAGATTGAGTAGAGCGAGCACAGCAGGGCCGGCGTGGCGCTCGACGGGTCGCCGCTGTACAGCCGGTCGAGCACGGCGTAGAACCGCTCGGCCGACCAGAACCAGTAGACGGATTGGATGTCGCGGAAGAAGCGCGACACGCAGCGGTTGCAGAGGTCGCGCCGCGGCAGAAAGATTTGCATCCGCCGGCTGCCGCCGGAGCCGGCGCCGGCGCCCGGCACAAACGCGTGCACGGCGGCGTTGTAGACAGGTAGGTGCGCGTGCGGCGACGGCACACCGCCGCTGACGCTGACACCGCCCACGCCCACCGAGTCGGGCGTCGACGGCGGCAGCGGCGGCGGCGGCACCGTAAAGGGCGGCACCAGGTCTGTCTTGGCGCCCACGGCGGCCTTGTCGCCCAGGACGCCGCCGCTGCTGCGGGCCTCGGACCCGCGCCGGTGCCCCAGCGACCGCACGGCCGCGTGGAACCCGTAGCCCGAGTCGGCGCCCACGTGGCGGTACGTGCCGCGGGCGTCCACGCGCAGCCACCCCAGCTCGCCGTGCAGCTCGTCGATCTCGTCAATCGACGCGTCCAGGGCTGCGGCGTCTTCCGTCTTGGCCGCGACGGTTGACGCCGGCGTCGTCCTGCTGTCGTCGCCCACCACAATCGAGTCGCCCGACGACGCCGAGCCCTCGGACGGCGGCGCGGTCAGCAGACCCGCGTGGGCCTGTCTTTGCGTCTGGCCTTGTGTCTGTGTCTGTGACTGCATGGGCGTCTGCCCGCTGTACGTGTAGTCGGCCCCCCGAATCGGCTGGCCGGCCTCCAGCGCCTGCACCACCTCCCGCAGCGACTGCAGGTTGAGGTCCACGTTGGGCAGAAAGTGCTCCAGCGCCTTGGTCATGTAGCGGAACTCCTCCTCCGACACGTGGTAGTACGGCCGCTGCCGCCGCCGCGACGGGTCCAGGTGGCACACGGCGCTGATGCTGGCGCAGAATTGGCACGGCCCCGGCACCGGGTCCACGCACTTGGTCTTGCGGCTCTTGCACCGGTCGCAGCTCATGGGCGCGCGCCGTTTGCTGCCGGCCTTGGCCGTGTCCGTGGCGGGCGCCATGTTGGGGATGTCGGGGTGTGGTATGTGGTGGTTGCGAGGGTGTTGTGGATGGATGGTACGGTGTTGTTGATGTTGAGGATATGGTCGATGGTGATGTTGTGGATGTTATTGTTCTCCTTGGTGTTGAAGATCGATTATTTTGTGAGGGGCGGAATGAAGATGGGGAAGGGAAATGGGGACGGGAGGACAGGCAGAGAGGGGAAGGGAAGGGCCAAGGGAACGGGACAAAATAATAATACGAAAAATAAGACGTAGAAATTGGAAAATACTACGCATACAATAATGCACCAATGCCATGAACGAACAACATGTAAAGGAACAAAATGTGCCAGACTCGACGACAGGACGTGGATATAGAAGTCGCCGGGAGTCGGGTGCTCTGACAAGCTACAGGAGAGCAACTGACGACATGGACGCCTGTTGCAGACATTCAGACAAGGCCAGTAGAGGTCGTGTTCGGGGATTTCTTGGGATCTGACGACAAGAGGAGGAGCCGGTGGACGCCATGCCACGAGGCGTTTGCAAAGGCAGACGATCTGACACGAGAAGAAATGGAAGCAGGCTATGCTATGAACGACCACAACCGCCGAGGGTCCAGCTGGGGTCAATAATAGTCCTGTATGGGAGTCTTCTCTTGTCGTTTTTTTCCCTATTACTTTCTCTTCTCGTTTCCTTCGTACTCGTCTTCTCTCCACAGAATCCAGAATCCAGAATCCCCGCACGACGTCAACAGGAACGACAAGTAAGCCAAGGCAGCATGTCCCTTTTTCAGTCTCTTTCCAGTCTCTTACCGTGCCTTTCAACAACTGCCGGAATCCAACTCAGTCCAGACTCCACCTCACTTTTACGCGTGCGGGGTTGCACACGCCAATAGTGCTGTCAATCGTCTGTTCGGTTTGTCTGCCCCAACCGACAATGTGACGAAAAAGACACAGAACGAACGAGGCCAGTCTCAATGGGGAAAAGACTGGCTGGGGAAGTGCTCGAACGACCGTCGATGCCCTCGATTTGCATCGCAAAACCAACTGGGGAAAGGGATGTGGGGAAGTCAGGCCAGGGACCCGATCCTTGGGTCAACAATCGTCGCCATTCCACAATGCCACGCAATCCCAAGCCAATCCGGCCAACCCCAGTCCGACTAGTGTGTCTCGGTCAGGGTTGACAAAGATGACCATGGGACACTAAACGTGTGCAGACCAGGGAGTGGTTAGAGAGGAAAATAAGAAAAGGAAAGACAAAAAGGAATTAGGACAGAGACAGACAGACGACGACAAGTGACAACACCGAGATATCTCCCTGAATCGGAGAATTCTCCCACTGTTCGTCCGTCTGCCGTGTCTGCTTCTGCCGTCTTCGTGCTCTTTTGCCGGCCACGCTGTCGTTATTGGTGGATCATGGCCGTCTCTCTTGGCTGCTATCAATAGTGCCTGCGGTCCTGTGTGCGGTCCTGTGTGTCGGGTATTAAAGTTAATTACAAGGATCGCCTTAAAGCAACGTGTCTTAATTTGTTTCTTAAAGTCAACCCAGAGCTGGGATTGCTGCCACTATATCTCACGAAAATAATACATCATTTGCATAAACAAGCACTACTTCTGTCTTTATACACTTTCGCCTTCCTTCTTATCGTCACCTCTCACCGTCTACCGCTTCAATGTCCAGTGTATCGTATCTATGTGTATAACACGCGGCTCCTAATCATAAATATAATAAACGAATAAACTACATACTGCCACAACGTACTGCACCCACCGCCTACGCCTCCGCCGACACAACCGGGGCGGCCGCCGGGACAGCCGTCTCTCCGCTTGCGGCCGCCTGGACCTTGGCCAGGGCGGCGTCAAACTGCTCCTCGGCGTGCTTCTCGGCGTCAAAGCTGTGGATCCACTCGTCGCGCGGGAAGCCGATGCTGGTGGGGTCCTCCTTGACCTTGGCCCAGTCCGTCTTGTGCCACATGTCGCGCGTCGTCTCGCCCGTCTTCTGCACGGCGCCCACGCGGTCGTAGCGCAGCGCCTGGTGCGCGCGGACGGCCGCGGGCACCTGCGCCTTGCCGGCGCGCCGCAGGCACACGGCGAGCGTGACGCCGTCCTCCATGGCCTGCGTGGCGCCCTGCGCGCTGGTGGGCAGGAACGGGTGCGCGGCGTCGCCGAGCAGCAGGATGCGGCCGTGGGTGCTGGTCCACGTGGGCAGCGGGTCGCGGTAGACGAGCTTCCAGTCGACGAGCGACGGCGTCTTCTCGACGATGGCGCGGCACAGCGGGTCCCAGCCCTCGAGCACCTTGTACACGTCCTCGAGCTTGCCCGGGAAGGACCACGACTCCTTGATGTCGTGCTCGTCGCGGTGCGTCAGCACCCAGCAGCAGTCGCTGCCGTTCTTGATGGTGGAGAACAAGAAGTGCACGTCCGGGCCGATCCAGCCGTTGAAGGTGTCGCCGTTTTCGCAAAACTCCTTGGTGCGCGGGTCGCGGATCATGTCCGTGTTGGGGAACCACGCGCGCCACACGGCGTAGCCGCTGCTCTTGGGCTTGTCCTCGTAGCCCAGCACCAGCGTGCGCGCCTTGGACCGCACGCCGTCGGCGCCCACCACCACGTCCGCGTACACCCGGCGCCCGCCCTTGACCACGATGCCCGCCTGGTCGCCGTCCTCAAAGTAGTCCTCGACGTAGTGGCCCAGGTGGATGGGGATCTGCAGCTCGTCGCGCGCGTAGTCAAACACAATCTGGTGCAGCTCGCCGCGGTGGCCGTTGAAGACGGGCGCGTCCTCGGCCGGCGGCGGCGACTTTTGGTGGAACACGACCTCGCCCGTGTCGTACTTGTGGATGCGGAAGCCGTATTCGCGCAGGTCGATCGACACGGCCCGCAGGCGCTCGGCCACCGCGCCCGGCGTCGCGCCCCAGCGGTGGAAGATGCGGCCCGCGTTGGACCCAAACGAGATGATGTCGCCCAGCACCTTGAGCGCCGGGAACGACTCGTAAATCTCCACGTCGTGGCCCTGCCGGTGGCACTCGATGGCCGCCGTCAGCCCGCCGAAGCCGGCGCCCACAATCACCACCTTGATGCCCGTCTTGTCTTTTGACATGGTGGGACGTGTGTCGTGTGAGTGGGTGCTGGGGATGTGTTGGGATGTCTAGACTGTCTGGACGGTTGTGTTTGAGTTTGATTGTTTGGATGGATGACGGTCGATTAATTATCCAATATCCTATTTTCTTATAATCCGTACTCTCTATTTAATACATACGACGTACGTGGAATGACCTCTCAACCACCCGGATCGACGCGACCGCTTCGACCCGACTGGCACAATGGATGCGGCAAAGTGGGCGTGTCGACACGCGGGTGCGTCAAAGGGGCGTGGGAGACCATCTTCTTCACCCCTGCAGCCGCTGGAGACGGAGAGCGGAGGACAATTTGCCGGTTATTGGGGAAAGAGGGGCAGCACTTCTGGACACCGGCTGGATGTGCTTCGAGACTATTCCTGGCTGTTCCTCGAGACTCTGCCTGTCATCTTTCCACCATCGACTTGCGGGCATCGTTCGGGTCCCCATCTTGCCGTTCGTCGCACCCATCTGTCTGTTGTTTATAGACGGCGGACCAGTTATTGAAACGCATGGCCTCGAGTTTCTCCGTCAATCGCGAGCTTTGTCCGCAGACGATTGAATATCCTGCCGTCGTCTGTGCAGGACGGCTCCCGGCTCCACGCAGGTGTGCTCTGCACTCATGTTTCCACACATGTTTGGATGCATATTGCACGCATATTTGCACGTTTTGCCAAGTCTTACATGCCCGTCGCGGCGGACGGCTTCAGCCACCGACTCTCCGCACTACCCCTCAAACTGGCGACACTACCACCGACCAGAACCAGAGAACGACATCGGCAACATCTTGCCGAGGACATGAGACTGCTACCTACGACTTACTTCCATGCTAGCTGAGACTCGTGATGCGGTCGGGCTTCAACGCGGTCTCAGAATGCATGCGTACGGACTTGCCATTGGCCGTGATTCCGCATCCGTCTTGGACTCTCGCCGACTATTGCACCTACTATTGAATTCAGGAGCACGGAGAGCAGGCCTTTTGCGATTCGAAGAACAGCCATACTGTGACTGGCATAGCCAACTCCGTGTCCAATGACATTGCGTAAATCGTCTTATAAAGTGTGACATTGCCAAAATACATGTGATTCAACATGGTGATGTAAACATTGAATATAAACACGTTACACACTGATCACCACAACTCATACATCTCATACACATTCATGGCCACACACGCAGAGTACGGTGCCAGTACCACGGCCACAGAGGTCGCTGCCGCCTTTGCTGACCAGATCAAGGGAAAGAATGGTGAGGAGTAAACACCCGTTCGACTGGCGTCTCTGCCATCCCATTGCCAACCCATTGCCATCCTCTTCTAACCCCACACCAGTCGTCGTCACCGGCATCAGTCCGGCCAGCATCGGCTACACGACCGTTCTGGCCATTGCCTCGCAGGCGCCGGCGCACCTGGTGCTCGCCTCGCGCACGCAGGCCAAGCTGGACGCCGTCGTCAAGGACGTGCGTGCTGTCCATCCCAGCGTACCGCTGCACACGGTCCTGCTGGACCTTGCCTCGGTGGAGTCGGTGCGCGCGGCCGCACAGGCGGTGGCCAGCCTCGTCGACCACGTGGACGTGCTCATCAACAACGCCGGCATCAGCACGCCGGAGCGGCTCGCCAGCACGGCGCCCGACGGCACGCCGGTGGACGGCCAGTTCCTGACCAACCACCTGGGCGTGTTTCTGTGGACGTCGCTGCTGCTGCCGAGCCTGCGGGCGGCGCCGTCGTCGGCGACATCGCCGGCGCGGATCATCAACCTGACCAGCCAGGGCCACCACCTGTCGCCCGTGCGCTTCAGCGACTACGCCTTCACGGCGGGCACCTACAACGTCCCCGCCGACGAGAAGCCCCGCGACGGGCTGCCGCCCTTTTTCCTGCGCGAAATCGACGGTTACCCGGGCTTCCTGGGTT